GCACATCTCTTTGATTCCACTGTTCTTCCTGCATTAACATATGCCTCAGAGACCTGGGCCCTACGCAAACAGGATGAGAATGCTATTCGGGTCTCCCAAAGAAGAATAGAAAGAGTTATGCTTGGAATATCACGTTTCACTCAAATGAGAGAACGAATCCGGAGTTCTGACATCCATCGATGATCAAGGATCAGGGACGCTGTCTCATTTGCCAAGGTGTCGAAAATCAGATGGGCTGGTCACGTAATGAGATTTAAAGACGACCGTTGGACCAGAGCTGTTACTGACTGGATTCCACGGGATGTCAAAAGATCACGTGGCCGCCCACCTACCAGATGGTCAGATTTCTTCGTCAAGATCATGAACGATCGGTCTGAGGCCCTTCATGTTCCCGGAGCGAACAGATGCCATTGGGCTACACTAGCACGCGGCAGGGACAAATGGAGACGTTACTGGCGCCCGCTCGAGCAAATCGACGACTAACGGGAAGTTAAGTGATTAAGTGATTAATTCAGGGCTGGAGAGATAGGACAGTGGGGAAGGCACTCACCTTGCATGCAGTTAGTTGACCCTGGTTTGATTATTGGCACTCCATATGGTCCCCCCTACCCACATTGCCAGGAGTGATCCCTGGGCACAGAGTCCGGAGTGATCCCTGAGCACTACCAGTTATGGCCCCCAAACCAAAGCATAATTAAAAATTGAAAAAAAATTGAAAAATAATAGTAAGTGAAATATTACCCTTAATTCAGTAAAACACACACACACACGCACACACACACACACACAAACAAACTCAGGTTGATATGTATGAAGGATCCCCCCCTTTCATTTCCTTTTGCAATAACAGATTAGTCAAAACTTAACTATTTTGGAACTTGAAGTCTCTTGGGCCAGTGAGTCCGGTATTTCTGGACTTTTCTCCCTGGGATCTATTGGGAATTCCAGTTCCAGAGAAGATTCCAACCCTTGCTTTGCCAGTCTCGTTTCGTGCCAGAGAGCAACGGTGTCGGTATGTTAGCTCTTAGCTAATCACGGTTTAGGAGACACAGTTTTTGCTGTGAGAAGGGAAAAACCTGAAATTCAATATTACATGGAATTTGCTTGTGTTTGGGCCACATCCAGCGGTGCCCAGGGCTCGCTCCTGGCTTTGCATTCAGGAACTGCTCCTGGCAGTGCTAGGGCACATACAGAATGCTGGAGATCGAACCTGGGTTGGCTGCGTGAGAGGCAAGTGCCTTGCCCGCTGTTCTATTGAGCCGGCCCCTGGGATTATGTTTTAGCGCTTCCTAATGGCTGACTAGATGGTAAGAGTGAGAAAAAACTAAGTTCTTTAGAGGGCAAGAGAAGTAACTTTCACACCTGGCACACTTTTGGTGTTCTGTCAATATTTGTTGATGCCGCATGTGTGTCATTCTTACATAATCATGATGATTTCCTCAGAATAGAATAAAACTAGCTGCACAGGAAAACACAGTCACAAATTTTATAAAGATTTTTGTACTTCTGGTTCAATATTTACAAGTTGGATAGAACAGGTGGTATTGAAATAAAGTGTTTGAAGCTTTTCTCAATATATATAAATATATAAATATTTTAAGAAGACCAGATCTTCTATTCAAGATCAACAGAATGAGGGACTGGAGTGACAGTATAGCAGGTAGGGCGTTTGCCTTGCACGCGGCCAACCCGGGTTCGATTCCCAGCATCCCATATGGTCCCTCGAGCACCACCAGGAGTAATTCCTGAGTGCAGAGCCAGGGATAACCCTGTGCATCGCCGGGTGTGATCCCCCTCCACCTCCCCCCAAAAAAAGCAGAAAGAAAAAGATTAATAGAACGGGGCCAGTAGTTGAAGAAGCTGCAGCTGTGGCGGGGGTGTGTGGCTGCCAGACTTCCAGAAGCATTGGTTCGGGGTGGGAGGAGGATGCCCACCCCCACTCTGAGAAGGCCCCAGAGTTCTCGGCCTGAAAACAGGTGCGTACCTGGAATTTTCGAGGTTTGGTGTCTCTGCAGACATCACCCACGACAAAGAAGAATCGAGCTGTTGGTGTAGCCGCAGCTGTGGCGTGTGGGTACAACTGTTGGGGCAGGATGGGGCCTCGCCCGTCCCACTCCCGAGGGTGCCCTAGAGATTTCAGCCAGGAGATGGGCGTGCCCATTAAATGTGGGGCTTGACTTGTGGCTCTGGAGAGCAGGGCCGGCAAGTGAGGCAAAGGAGTCGGCCTGGGGAGGTGGAGGGGATTGTTATTCCAGATGAGAAAGGGATTCTTTCATCATGCAAAACCTTTGAATTGGGTGTAGTATTGCCCCATGTATTTTGCTTCTGTTGTCCATTTACTTCGTCAATCTTGGAAGACATCTGATTGGTCTGTATCCTGAAGAGCATTGCCTGTGTTTGTCGGTATAGGGATTGGTTTTCATCTTAAGAGCTTTACCCCACTTGGAAGTAACGTTGGTGGAAGCTGTGAGATACGCAGGCAAGTGTTTTCACATGGCAGGTGTTGGACTCTCCTCAAGGCTGTGAACATAATGAATGGTGGGAGGGTTTGGGCCCAGCCCTGTCGAGTTACACTGTGTTGCTTTAGCAAAGCACCTGAAATGCTGCTTCGTGCCTGATCTCGATTTACGTATTCACTCCCTACTGCGGCCTATTAGGAAGGTCCTCATATTTTTTGTTTTCTCTTTTTGAGTCACACCTGGCGATGCACAGGGGTTATTCCTGGCTCATGCACTCAGGAATTACTTCTGGCAGTGCTCAGGGGACCCTATGGGATGCTGGGAATCGAACCCGGGTCGGCCACGTGCAAGGCAAACGCCCTCCCCGCTGTGCTATCGCTACAGCCCCTCATATTTATTTTTTATTTGCGTAATTAAGTCGTCCTAAGGCAGCCTTCCTCTAACACATTATTCCAGGTGATTTCTGACGATTAAATACTGAATTCTGACGACTTTTAGGCCGCTGCTGTCTGTCAGATACTCTTATGTACTTCTTGAAATTTTATTTAAGCCTTAAGGCATTCTCTTCTGTTTTGCCTTTTGAGTCACACCAAGCAGTGCTCAGGGCTTACTCCTGGCTCTGGGCCCAGGGATCGATCACTCCTGGTGGGCTCAGGGAACGATATGGGGTGCTGGGAAATTAACCAGGTTCAGCTGTGTGCAAGGCAAACACTCTATGAACCTACAATCACTCTAGCCCTAGGACAGCCCTTGGAGAACAGCAATTCTCTCAGGAAGCAGAGACTTAACAAAATGTTACATAACAAGCCCCAGGTTGTACAAGGGCCTGGAACCTCATGAAATCATTTGAAACTTCATGAAATCTTTGGGAAAAAAAAAAATCTGTGTTCTACAAATTGTTCTTTTTTTTTTTTTTTTTCTGAGCAGGGTAATGCTCAGGAGTTACTCCTGGCTCTGTACTCAGGAATTAATCCTGGCAGAGCTTGGGAGACCATCGGGGATTCGGGGGATCCCATCTGGGTGAGCCCCATGCAAGGCCAACGCCCTCCCCGCTGTGCTCTCTCTCCAGCCCCATAAATTGCTGTTAACTGCTTCGAGATGATCTTTGGGCTCAACTCTTCACTTGAGCAGGTCACGTCTAAAATTGCCAGGAACAATGTGTGTGTTCAGGAGTGAGGTGGGGAGAGGGTGGCCATTCCATACTACTTCCTGAGAAGAAGGGTTTACCACCGAAGGATCTCCACACCGAAGATCAGGGCAGCGGTGTTGAAGTGAAAAGAGAAGTCTCTACAGATACAGAGGTACAGATGTTTGGTTGGAAGGAAATAGTTCTAATTAGGGAGGAGAGAGGGAGAGAGAGAGAGACAGAGAGAGAGAGAGACAGAGACAGAGACAGAGAGAGAGGAAAATGAGAGCAAAAGAGTGAGAGTGGGCCGGAGTGATAGCACAGCGGGGAGGGCGTTTGTCTTGCACGCGGCCGACCTGGGTTCAATCCCCAGCATCCCATATGGTCCCCCAAGCACCGCCAGGAGTAATTCCTGAGTGCAGAGCCAGGAATAACCCCTGAGCATCACTGGGTGTGACCCAAAAAGCAAAAAAATAAAAATAAAGAGAGAGAGAGAGAGAGAGAGAGAGAGAGTCCTACAAAATAAAGGGATTATCCAGTCACTGGGCCTTGGCATGCTGGAAGATCTTTGTGTGTGTGTGTGTGTGTGTGTGTGTGTGTGTGTGTGTGTGTGTGTGCACACTGGGATTGAACCTGGGGCCTTCCCCCATCGGAGGCCTGTGCTCTACAACTCAGATGGGGAAATGCTCCAGAAAGAAGTCTGTAGGTCTGTAGGGCTGGGGCCAGAGCCATAGTCCAGTGGGGAGGGTGCGTGTCCGCTCCCAGGCACCCCACCTGGTCCCCCCAGCACTGCCAGGAGTAACCCCTGAGCACTGCCGGGTGTGCTGCCCCTCACACAAAAACAAAACTGATCCGCAGAGCAGTGAACCAAGTTCTGTTTACGTCAGCAAGTCGAGAGGCTCGAGTACATCAGGCGTCAAACTGACGAGGGGTCCCTCAGCAGCTCTGTGCCCTTCCACGTGGGTAGGTCGGGGAAACAGAGAGCGGGAAGGGCGTGTTCACCTTTTAGCCACTGCACCTCTCGGTCAGACTCCTCAACACTCAGGAGCTCCTCATGAAATGGTTCCCTGGAAAACGTAAGGACTTGAAAGAACAACTCAAAACGGTTCTGTGTAGCCTGGTTCCAACCAGGAATGTACAGAAGACAAGGGGCCTGAGAGTGTGGTGGGTGGGTGCTGTCATGCGCGTGGCTGCCAAAGATTCCACCCCCAGGACCCCATATGGTCCCCTGGGCCCCGTCCCGAGAACTACTGGGTGTGGCCCCCAAACAAAGGAAGTGTACCGAGTTAGCAGGAAGAAGTTTCCAGAAAAAGCAGGTGGAGTTTCACCTTGACATTTCCCCACTAATTCAATAATGTGCTCTAGGGTATCAATCGAACTGTTAATAAAAAAAACAATGAGGGAACACAGTCACGCCCAGGAAAATCTGAATATCTATTTTATTTGCATTAGAAAAGTATCACCTACGTAAAATGTTGGTCCCATTATTTCTCCTTTACTGCAATCAAACTTGAATACCTGAATTTCACTTAAATCCAAGCAAGATCATACTTGACTTGGAACAAAGGTCACATTATTGGCTGAAAAGGAATTAATCTGAATACTTAATTTTATTTCCATTAGAAAAATACGACCCACGTAAAGTGTAGGCCCAGTTAGTTCTCCTTTGCCGCAGTCAAAACTCAATACCTGGAATTTGTTTCAATCAGAGCAAAATTAGACACGAGAAGCACGAAGTCCACAGAGTGAGAAGGGTAGAAATTAACCGGACTAATTGTCATCTCTGTCACTTCGGGAGCAGGAATGCGTCTTGCCGGCGCGTGCCTTTGCTGTTCTTGATCCGAGTGGCGATGTGGCGAGTGTCACGGGTGTGATTTGTGGCCTCCGTGACGGGATTCCTCACCTAACCTTCATTCACACCGATTCAATCACGTGGCATTTTCCGCCAGAACGGCAGATGGCCCCTCTGGCCTGGGTCGGAGATTAGCCGTGCAAATTAAGGTGTGGATTTGGAAGCGGCGTGAGGCCTCCGGACTAGAGGACGCTGGGGCCGCTTAGTCATGCTGTGGTGAGGGGGCCCAGGAGGGCGACGGCTTCGATCTCCACCCGGGCTCCCTGCAGGGGACACGACAGAGCCTCGCTCAGGTCATTCTGGACAGACGTGCGCCAAGAAGGCAGGCGAGGAGGAGCCCCCCCCCCCCCCACAGCGCGTCTGTCAGACTAATGGGCCCGGCCCAGACACATACTCCGTGGGTTCGAGCCCGGGCCCCGAGTCCCCTTCCACAGTGGCACCTGCCTCAGCTGTTGGTGCCAAGAGTCCCAAGGAGCAACCCAGGGATGCATGAGGGAGCCTCACGGAAGAGCGATGCTGACATCACTCGGGGCCCTTCTTCAGGGGACGGTTAAGGTTGGAGGGGTTCGAAATGGATTTTGAGATGCGTTTTCCCATGGAAGGTCTAGGTCTTTTTTTTTTTTTTTGCTTTTTGGGTCACACCCGGCGATGCACAGGGGTTCCTCCTGGCTCTGCACTCAGGAGTCACTCCTGGCGGTGCTCAGGGGACCATATGGGATGCTGGGAATCGAACCCGGGTCGGCCGCGTGCAAGACAAACGTCCTACCCGCTGTGCTATCGCTCCAGCCCCGGTCTAGGTCTTTTTGTTGTACAATAGACAAGTAAAATGTTTTACGGCAGAGCTCAAAGCCTTTGCCCAATATGGAACTCAAGGAACTTGAAAATGACTCACTGGCCTTTTTTACTTTCTCTCACAGATTTCTCTGCACTTCCAGGCCACACCTGGTGGTGCTCAGGGACTGCTCCTGGTTGTGTGCTCGGGGATCCTATGTGGTGCCAGGGATTCAGACAGGGGTCAGCGGGACGCAAGGGAAGGGCCCTCTCCTCTGCATTCTCCCTCCGGCCCACTACTTTCCCTCAGTTAGAGGACTGATTCGGTCACATTTATGTGTGGCCTTCACTGTGAAGACCAGGCTTTAAAATGCCTTAAATTCATCATCCCCCCGCCCCCCCACACCCCCACCTCCCCATGCACATCATGTTGGGTGTGGCCTTTTAAGTTCTAAATTCTTGGAAATCAGGGATTATTTCATATATATATATAAAAACTCCCCCCATGGTGCTTCGGCTTTGGTGGTCAGCCAACAGCGTGGACCCGGACACGGTGTCCCCGGCACCCGGAAGGTCCTGGAAGGTACTCACTCTGGGCAATGCGACCACCTGGTAAGCGGCTCTCGCAGGAAAGTTGCTCTTGAAAACTGCAATGTAAGAAATTCCATTTTAGTCGTTTGTTTTTGACTGTGCACCAACCCTCCAGACCAGACAGGACAACGGGAAGTGCCTCCAAGACCAGTTCTCAGATACCAGCAACGTTGGAAAAAAAGCAGCTCACGTTCATCGCTGGAGCGACAGCACAGCTGGTAGGGCGTTCGCCTTGCACGCGGCCAACATGGCCGACCCGAGTTCGATTCCTCCGCCCCTCTCGGAGAGCCCGGCAAGCTACCGAGAGTATTCGATATGCCAGACACAGTAACAACAAAGTCTCCAATGGAGACGTTACTGGGTCCGCTCGAGCAAAGCGATGAATAGCGGGAGGGCCTTTACCTTTACCTTACCTTACGTTCATATTTGTCTGATAAAACACTCTGCCACATCACTTCAAATTTTATACTCTCAGAAACGTCTCAGCGTTTTGGAAAAAGAAAGCAAGCACACAGATTCTGACGCTTTGATCTCATTAAACATATATGTTTTGTTTTTTTGGGGGGTGTGTATGTGTGTGCGTGTTGTCAGGGCCTGAAACTGGGGCCTCCTACATACAAGGGAATTGTTCTCTTGGCGAACTATACCTTGGGTGGGGTGTGGCTTTAAAAATTATTTTTTTAAATTTTTTGTTCCTGCCTCTGTGCTCAGAGATCACTCCTGGTGGGCTTACCCTAGGGGGTGCCGTGGATCAAACCCAGGTTTGCTGTGTGCAAAGCAAGTGCCCTACCCGCTGTAGCATTGCTCCAAGCCCAGCTTTTAAATTTCATTTTATTTATTTATTTATTTTTGCTTTTTTGGGTCACACCCAGCGATGCACAGGGGTTCCTCCTGGCTCTGCACTCAGGAGTTACTCCTGGTGGTGCTCAGGGGACCATATGGGATGCTGGGAATCGAACCCGGGTCGGCCGCGTGCAAGGCAAACGCCCTACCCGCTGTGCTATCGCTCCAGCCCCAGCTTTTAAATTTTAAAGAATTTATTTAGGGTCCCGCCTCACAGTGCTCGGGGGCTCTTCTGGTGTCTGTGCTCAGGCCTGACCCCTGGTGGTTTGCTGGGGACTGAACCCAGACTGGCCACAGCTAAGGCAAGGGCCCAACCCCCACCCCTCCCCCATGCTCTCTCTCTGGGCCCTCTTGGTTCTCTCTACAACGGAAATGAGGAGTGCGGCCGTGCTACTCACACTGCTTGTAGACGTCGTTGACAGTATTGAAGTCGTTGATGTCTGCCAGCAGGACCGTGGTTTTCACCACTGGAAGAAACACACACTGGCATTAGGCTCTGGCATCTGGTCCAGGCTCAAACATCATGAACAAAAAAAGGAGAAAGACCACCCCACCATCGCACTAACGTGAGGCCTGGTGCTCGACCTGGTGAAAACGGGACTCAAATGAGAAACACTTGAGAAAGCCACGAAGTTCTGGCATGACCTGGGACCGGCCGCCATGGGCGCTTCCAAAAGACCACAGAAATAGTGGATCGGAGGGGTGGGGGCTGGGCCGCCCAGGTGCTCACCGTTCGTGTAGTCACAGCCCGCGGCTTTCAGGATCTCCCCTATGTTGGTCAGGGCCTGGAAGCATGGCAGAAAGACACCCAACGTGGGATTAGAGTGTGGATGGCTTATGGACACCCCCCGGATGCATTATGTCCCAGGAAAGGTCTTTGCCTCAATGACATCTGACGCCTCCCAGGCCACCTGCTCACGAGGGCTCCATCGTGGGTCCCTGTGATGGAACGTGTGAGTCCTGTAACACAGCCCACGTTGGCCCTTTCCTTGGGGGGGTGGGGGGGGGAGAGACTCGAGTGTCTTTTCTCCCTGCTGATCTGTGAAGTGCTCAGCCAACGACCCCTACACCCCGGTCGGCATCCCTCACGGGGTTCCCAGTTCTGCGTCACAATAAGGATGAACTTGGGAACACTCAACAAGGTTCCATCTGATTCTTATTATTTTCGGAGGGTTGTTTGGGCCTAAGTGCATTGCTCAGAGCTTACTCCTGGCTTTGTGCTCAGGACGGATCATCCCTGGCGGTGCTCAGGGATCCGTATGAGATGCTGGGGATGGAACCCGGGCCGGCTGTGTGCAAGAAAAGTGCCTTCACTGTACTCTTTTTCTAGCCCCTAGGTTTTGGTTTTGGGCCACCCCCAGTGGTGGTCAGGGCTTCCTCCTGGCTCTGGGCTCAGGGCTCACTCCTGGTGGGGTTTGGGGGACCATATGGGATGCTGGGGATCAGACTTTGGTCAGGCTTGTGCGTGACAATCTACTCGCTGTACTATCACTCTGGCCCCAAATTTCCAGCTTTCTGTGCACACAGAACTGTCGAGTCGTGCCCTAAGTTATGTACAAAGCACTGACCAGTGACCGGTTGTGCCAGGAAGCTCTCAATACTGCAGAGCGCTGAGAAGGGACTTACCTGTTTGGTCTCTGCCACCACGCCTCCGGGCACCATCTGGCCAGAAGGGTCCAGGCCTACCTGTCCCGAAATGTAAAGGGTCCTGTCGGCCAGCACTGCTTGACTGCAGAGAACAGAAACCCGGAGTGAGAGGTACATAGGAAGCTACGGCCCCAAGCAGAGGGTCTCTGCTCAGACGTGCCAGGCACACAATGTTCGAGCCCTGGTGTGCCTGAGCAGAGGTACGTGAGTGACAAACTCGTGCTGATTTTGGGACATTTTAAATGATTGGTATGGGTTTCGGTGACACCCCGAGATGCTTCAGGATCCAGTCCAGGCCTCCTGTATGTGAGGTATGTGCCCTTTGAACTGTCTCCCTGGCCCTGAAGGACCTATTTAAGGAAACAAAGGCAAGCCCCAGCCTGAGAAGCAGTATCTGCAAGACATACTTTGGCCACAAGAATCTCTGAGCTTTTGAACTCAAAGATCGTATCTAGAATCTATCAAGAATTCTTGGAGATGGAGAGACAGTACAATGGGGAGGGCACTGGCCTGCATGAGGCCAACCTGGGCTCGATCCCCGGTACCACATACGGTTCCCTTGGCCCCACCAGGAGTGACCCCCTGAGCACAGAGCCAGGACTAAGCCGCGAGCACAACCGGGTGTGACCCAAAATCCAAAAAGAAAAAAAAATATCGTAAAACCCAAAGTCTGAAGACGACCCAGTGAAAAAGTGGGCGTACGGGAGGAACCGGTAATTCACGGGAGACTCAGGGGGAACCGGTAATTCACGGGAGACTCAGGGGGAGCCTCTCTGTCATCATCAGTATTAGATATGCAAACCCGAACCACAGCCAGCTATTACAAGGACACGCCCCTGGGCGTGGGTGGGGAGGGTGAGGGTAGAACCCACAGACGCTGCTGGCGGAAACGCCATTTGGAACCTAATCTGGCAGTTTCTCACAAATGCATATACTTACATGGGTAATAGTACAGAGGGGAGGGCGTTTGCCTTGTACACGGCCACCCTGGGTTCGATCCCCGGCATCCCATAGGGTCCCCCAAGCACTGCCAGGATTACACCTGAGTACAGAGCCAGGAGTAAGCCCTGAGCATCACCGGGTGTGGCCCAAAAAAGCAAAAACCAACCCCAAAGCACATTTACAGTTGGCGCAACTTGACAGAACAGCATTCGCCTGGCATGTGAGGCCTTGGATATAATTCTTGGCAAAACACACACACACACACACACACACACACACACACACACACTTTGTTGTAGTCAAAAAAAACCCCCACTCAAACATCCCCACTAATACCATAGTTCTGGCTAAAGGTTGACTTCACATATATGGAATTTCAGACGAGACTGAATAAGAAGAAAAGGAGGTAGATCATGGGCGGGACTGACCGCGTGGATGGGAGGGCAGTAGAGGGGTGGACACTGCTTGTGGTCAGGGGTGCAAAGCTCAGGGAACCCTGCGTGGGCAGAGGGTGTATTCTCGTGTCACTTACACCTCGGCAAACTCTATACCAAGACCCCCGAGGAGAAGGAACCGTCCTGTGGAAATGCCATTCCTTTGAGTCCTCGAGGGCTGGGGCTTCACTGTGCAAAGCGGCTTCCGGGGAATTCCGTAGTGAGGACGCTATGTTATGGAATCATGATAAAATCGCAGATAGAATGGCACTGACTTGGCCTATTCCCCCTTGGCAGCTGGGTGGCCCCCATCCCCCAGAGGCCACTGGACAGTCAGGACTGGGCCCGCAGTGACGAGACACGTGGGGCCCCATGAGATGGGGGAGGAACCGGCCCTTTCCTCCCTGTCCCAATGAGACCCTGAGTCACTGCCCACGAACGGCCTCTCTGGCTCCTGACCAAGCTGCTTAATGGCCATGATCCCAGAGACTCAGGAACAAATCTGGGAACCCAGCAGGTTTTGGGCAGAAATCCCTCCAGATTTGTTAAAAATTCGGAATTCCAAAATCGCGCAGCCACTACTGCAGTCACGTGACATCATATGTTATTGTTAACCGGCAATAGAAAACAAATTGCCTATGGTTGCCTTTTAGGCAAATCCAAGTGTTGGGGTAAAATCCCAAATAATAATGGTGGGTCTGGTGTCAAAATATTGAATGTGATCAAAGTAGAGAGAGAGTACTGTGGAAATCATCTGCCCCACAGGTGGGGGAGGGTGTGGGATGGGGGTATACTGGGGTTTTTGATGGTGGAAAATGGGCACTGGTGAAGGGATGGGTGTTTTATCATTGTATGACCGACACTTAAACCCAAAAGCTTTGTAACTGCTCTCACGACGATTCAATAAATAAATTTATAAAGAAGAAAAAAAAAAAGAGAGAAAGCAGCACTGAGATCTGCAAAGTACCCAACAAATCAACAATTTTCAAGGACCTTCATTTGGTTTTGGAAAAAGCAAACACCTCTGTTTAAATGGTGGTCAAACATAACAGAACAGTCACCTTTGTTGTGTTCAGTGATACTCGGCTAACAGGGCCGAAGGGTCAGTGCTAGGGTGTGGGGATGCGGTGCTTAACGACCTCCAGGACCGCCCCAGCCGGGCTGGGGCAGGGGAGACACTGACCATTTCTTTTTTAATTAAAAAAATTTTTAATAGTGAGACATCATGAGGTACAGTTGCAGACTTACACATTTTTGTGCTTGGGTTTCAATTATACAATGATCAAACACCCACCCCTCCACCAGTGCCCATTTCCCACCACCACGGATCCCAGTATCCCTCCCACCCCCATCTCCCCCATCCCACCCTGCCTCTGTGGCAGGGCATTCCCTTTTGTTCTCTCTCTCCTTTTGGGTGCTGTGGTTTGCAAAAGAGGCAATGGGTGACAATCATGTTTGGTCTATAGTCTAACTTTCAGCATGCTTCTCCCGTCCTGGGAGGATCCTCCCTACACCCTTTATTTGGTGCTCCTTTCTTTATCTGAGCTCCCTTTTCCCCTAGTATGTGTGGTCCAGCCATTTTTTAGGTTTTCAATTCCATGGCATTAAGTCGCGTATTAAAAATGTTGAGCGTCTGGGGATTCTCCGCTCGCTGGCTTTCATCCAGGTCCACAAAGGACAAACCTGGAGCTTGTTAATGTGTAAGCTTGTCACACGCTGAGCTGCAACTTCAGCAAGCGGTCTGTGTCCTCCAGAGAATCAGGACACCCCAGGTCCTCTGGGGCACCTTCAACCCCCCAGCCTGGCAGCAGAGTCTACGCCCATAAGCGATTCCTTTGATCAAAACCCTTGGCAGTCCAGACGCCTGCTCATTACCCGACAAGTAGAGGCTAAGCCTGGACCGGGTGGGTGATCTGAGCCACGCGAGGTACGCCTCACAGTCAGAAAAAGGCCTCTCGCACAAAAATAATCTGAGTTGATAACTTCCGGAGCCTAAGAATCCTCTTCACAGCCAAGTCATCAGGTACCAGAACATTTCAAAATGGATCATTTTGTTTCCGGGTCCAGGGGACCAAAACACTTTCCGAAGCACCGTGGTAAGAACCGTCTACCCACACGTCTTCCCACATGGACTGTGCCCCACGGATGCTGGCTTTGAAATGCTTTGAGTTTTCAGACAATCTGGGAGTAGAAGGGAAAGGCACACACGGGTCATGTGATGTGGCCACAGGCAGGCTCTGTCCTGGAGAAGCCCTAAAAAAGTGCTGAGTTGCTAAGCTAATTAGTGACAACAGCCCCCAGAGGGGCTGAAGTCCAGCAGGTCTGACTCTTCTTGGAGAAGGCCCAGAATTTTCAGAATGAGTACTTGTTACAAATGCCACACACCAGAAGAACCCTGGACTCCAGAAGTTTTTTGTTTTGATTTTTTTTTTTTTTTGGCCACAGCTGGCGATGCTCAGGGGTAACTCCTGCCATTACACTCAGGAATCACTCCTGGGGGTGCTTGGGGGACCCTATGGGATGTCAGGGATCACACCTGGGTTGGCCGTGTGCAAGGCAAACGGTCTGCCCGCTGTACTATCGCTCCAACCCCACCAAACAGTTCTTAAAACACATTTCCATCAGGGTTTAGACCGTGGGCTGGAGTGTGTATTTTTCTGTCTCCTCTTCAGTCTATAATAATGAAGACGAGCAGATTGTCTTTAGGTGTTCAAAAGCCCAGAGGACATCGTTGTTCCCTGGACAGTCACCGCTCTTTTGCGGACACTTCCCCCCTTTCCTCGCCCACCAGGTGTATCACTTCTAGGCGTGCTTTCCCGGACAAAGAACACATTTAAACTCTACTCTTTTTCATTTATTTTTAAAATTTTGTGCCATACCCAGCAGTGCTCAGGGCTCTCGCCTGGCTCTGCACTCAGGAGACCTTGTGGGATGCCGGGGATTGAACGGGTCAGCCTTGTGCAGGGCCTGTGTCCGACCCACTGTACTTTAGGCCGGCCCTCTGCTCTGTGTTTTGTTAGGGGCGACACCCATGGGGCCATCTGATGCATGGACTGAGCGCTCCCTGCACACAGCCCAGGCCCACGATGAAGGGGCAGGGACAAGGCTAAGAGCAAAAAGATGATGGACATTCATTGTTGTTGAATTTCCTTTTTCTGCCTCGACTCTCCTGGCTGTGAGCTCTGGGATCACTAGTGGCAGGGCTCAGGGACCACCCGGGGTGCCGGGGCTCCGATCCAAGGCAGCCAATGCCTGACTTGCTGTACTATCTCTTCAGTCTCTCAAAGGAAAGTTGGGGCAAAAAAGGCAAAAGGAAAGGAAAAAGTAGGTTCTCAGCCCAGCTCTTAACCAGCAATTCCCAAGGCCGAGGTCACACGCGAAAGTTGGCACAGCGAGGACCTGGCTTTCTGTCCCACTCCTTGCCAATTCTCAGGTGCAGGGGTCTGCAGAGTTACTGATTAAGAGTGAGCTCTGCCGCCCTGACCCAGGACACATTCTGGCACCCGTGGTGTGACCTTGGATGGGCACCGTGTCAGCCTTGTGCCCAAGCAGCCTCGAGCAGTGCCTGGAGCTGAGTCAGCACCACTGAGTTCCTCTCCCGGGGGGGTCTTTGGCTCAACAAGGGAACCATTGCTTCACACAAACTCGGTGATGGCCTGGGGCTCAGGGCCAATTCGTTGTGCCTGGCTAGAATTTCATAACCCCCCACTTTTTTATTTTTGCTTTTGGGTGGGTCACACCCGGATGTGCTCAGGGGTTACCTGGTGGTGCCTGGGGGAACCATATGGGGACTGAGCTTGGATTGGCCTCAGGCCTACTGCGCTATCTCTCTGGTCCCCGTCATTTTTTTTTTCTAAACACCCCTTTACCATTCTTTGTCTTCCTCTTTGGAGTCTGTCTGTAAAGTTTCAGAAGCAGGTAGAGAAACAGAGGGAGGCCCCTACCCTGTCACCAGCTAAGTCAGCCTCGCCGCCAATCCAGCTATCTCCAGATCCCGAAGGCTGGGCCCCCTTTGGCGGGGGGAAGGAGCAAGACTGCTAATGTGGCCAGTCGCACTGGACCCCTGCAAGTGGACACTTTAGGGACATAAACCCCACAGGAGAGTCAGAACAGAGATGAGCAAAGGTTAAGGTCCTTCTGCTCCACAACACCCTAATAACAGACTTTTTGCTCTCCATAGAAAACCCCAAGCTAGGGGTGGCAGTCTAGAAAAAAATTTAACTTTGCAAAGGCAAGCGAACCCACCTTCCTTCTGCAAAGAGCAAATGGTCAGCTCCCCCAAAACTCGGGCTGGGGACCAGCTCCTGGGGGCCTCAACCGCCGCCCTGAGGGGAAGATGGGGCACCCTTGTCTGTCTCTACAAGACTCTTGGTGCAGTGCTCAAGCTGACATTCCTATTCTCCCTCAATCCCCCAAGGCTGTCTGGGGAGACCGTGGGCCAAAAATCAAAAAGAGTGCAGGGACCACCCCCCCCCCCAGTCTCCCACCCACATCATTTCCTCTTCAGGTATTTTTGTTTTGCTGTGGGGGCTGCAGCCCACAGGCTTACCCCTGGCTCTTCGGAGTCACTGCTGGTGGTGGCTGGGGACCACGTGTAGTGTGCAGATGGAACCGCGGTCGGCCACACACGAAGAGTGCCTGAACACCATACTCAAATCAGCGGCCCCTCGTTTCCCTGCGGTGCTCAGGGCTTATTCCTGGCTTTGTGCTCCAGGGTCACTCCTAGCTGGCACCAGGAACCGTATGGGGAGCCCGGGAATGAACACTGGTCAGCCGGGTGTCAGGCCAGCGCCTTACCTGCTGTACTATCTGGCCAGACTGATTTTTTTTTTCTGCTGGAGGAGGGGAGGGGGGTCTCACATATGCAGCCCCTTTTGCTTATTTTATAGTTTGGGTTTTGGACACACGAGGCGACGCTCAGGAGTTACTCCTGGCGGTGCTCAGGAGACCATATGGGATCCTGGGGATCGAACCTGGGTCACCTGCATGCAAGGCGAGCGACCTCCCCATTCTACTGTCCCTCGGGCCCATTTCCCCCCTTTTATTCCCCACGCTCTGGTATTAACGTGATTTGAATTGTTTTTTTTGGGAAAAAAAAACTAGTACAGTGTTCAATAACCAAGGTTTCAAATTCTGAGCTTAGAAATAAACCAACAAATAGAAAAAAAATAAGATTTTGTTAAAAAAAAAAAACAAAAAACGGGGCTGTGGCCTTGCTAAAACATGTTTTGGGGATGCACGCGTGCAGAGGGCTGAGCTGGACGCGCCCCTAGAGCACCTGGACGTGTCCCTGGAGCACCTGGACGTGTCCCTGGAGCACCTGGACGTGTCCCTGGAGCCCCTGGACGTGTCCCCGCAGCACTGCCCGGGCACCGAGGGTCCGGCTGCGAGGTCCCGGGGTGGGAGGTGCTCCCGGATACGACCCCCGGTCCCGGGCCCCGTTTCCTGCAGCCTCCGAAGGCAACTGACCGCGCTGGCCCCCGAGCCCCTGCACCTCGCAGCCCAGAGCCTCGGGTTACCTGTAGGGCCCAATAGCCGAGGAGGACTTGTTGGTGCTGATCACCTTCCTGATCAAGGACGTCATGGCTCAGCCTGTTGCTCTGCAGCGCCCAAGGGAGAACGAGCGCACGCGCCGGCAGCGATCGCAGGACTGAGCTGACCCAGGCTACAGTCCCCGGGGGGTCACGAGTCCTCCCCGGGGGCGGGAGGGCCGCGCTCGGCATCCTGGGACTTGTAGTCGCCACGCCTCGCGCTCGGCATTCTGGGACTTGTAGTCTCCGCGCCGCGCCCCGGTATCCTGGGACTTACCTGGGTAGTCGCCGCGCCCCGCGCTCGACATCCTGGGACTTGTAGTCGCCACCCCTCGCGCTCGGCATTCTGGGACTTGTAGTCTCCGCGCCGCGCCCCGGTATCCTGGGACTTACTTAGGTAGTCGCCGCGCCTCGCGCTCGGCATCCTGGGACTTGTAGTCGCCACGCCTCGCGCTCGGCATTCTGGGACTTGTAGTCTCCGCGCCGCGGCCCGGTATCCTGGGACTTACTTGGGTAGTCGCCGCGCCTCGCGCTCGGCATCCTGGGACTTGTAGTCGCCACCCCTCGCGCTCGGCATTCTGGGACTTGTAGTCTCCGCGCGACCCCGCGCCACGTGGAGGCGGAGGCCGCCCCGGCGCATGCGCCCTCCCGCGCTCTCCCTGCGCACGTCCCTGCAGAGGGGATCGTCGCCGTGCACGCGTGGTGGGGACCCCGGGGAGCCCCGGCTGCACACGTCCAGTGAGTAACTCCCGAGGGCCTGGGGGGCCGCAGACCTGCGGGAGGTGCGTGGGGCGCGCCCTTGGGCCCGGGCTCTCCCCGAGGCCCTGCCCTGCTCGCCTCTGCCCTGGCCTCCCTGCACGCCGGTGCTCCAGGACCTGTCATTCATTTTCCGGGCCGGGGCTGTCCAGGAACCGGGCTTGCAGCTCCCTCTCCTGCCCCTAGCGGGGTGGGCTGGGCCCTCTGGGGGGCCGCATCGAGATCGGGAAGGGGCGGGGCCCACCCGGTGGGCTGGGGGCGGCGGGGGTCTCCTGGGGACTTCCTGGGGGTCTCTGCGCCCGCCCCCGGCCCGGACCCTCGTCCCCGGGCGTCGGCGCGAGTGTCCGATCTTGCCCCCGAGGGTGCCCCAGGGCTGGGCTGTGTGCAAATGCTCCGTCATGCCGAGCGAGGCAGGCCCGCCCCACAATTAATTTGCAAAATTAAACAAACTTTTTTTTTTTTTTTTGCATGCTATTAAGTGGGTCTGGATTCGCTTTTCGGCCCCTGCCGTGGACGCGAGCGCGTGTCCTTTGCAGCGGTTTGGTCCCTGCAAGAAAATGACCCCCGGGGTCCCGCTGGTTTGGTCCCAATGCTGCTAAGGTCATTCTGTCCCCACAGTTGTTAAGGTCACTGTGTCCCCTGCCCCACAACTGTCACAGCCTTTGCTTTGGCTTTAGGGCAGCGGGCGAGAAAAGACCTTCCACCCCGCCCAGGATTTCCCTTCAGAGTCCCCTCATCACCCAGGGCCACAACCTGGTACCTCCCCCCCCCCTCCACCCTCTCCCTCACTGAGTGACAGCTCAGGGGAACCCTCTTCTCCGTCCACTTCTCCTGTGGCCTCACGCTGTCTTTGCTTTTCGTCGCTGCTCTTTTATTTTTATTTATTTATTTATTTTTTGCTTTTTGGGTCACACCCAGTGATGCACAGGGGTTACTCCCGGCTCTGCACTCAGGAGTTACTCCTGGCGGTGCTCGGGGGACCATATGGGATGCTGGGAATCGAACCCGGGTCGGCCGCGTGCAAGGCAAACGCCCTCCCCGCTGTGCTATTGCTCCAGCCCCCATGGTAACATTTTGATACCAATTCTTCTGCTAGGAAGATTGCACCGAAGGATCAAGCTTCCGGTCAGAACTGTTTTATCCTGGAAGCTCCTTCTGCAGTAGTATACAGGGATGTGGCACATGCCTTGCAGGTAGCGGTGGCAGCTGTGACCCTAGTTCAATCCTCAGCACCGCATTTAGTTCCCTGATCACCGCCAAGAGTGACCCCAGAGCCCAGAGTAGCCCTGAGTGAGCACTGTCAGGTGTGGTCCCAAACTCTCCTCCCCGCAAATAAAAAAATCAAGTGGTACTTTGGGATCCGGGTGCCCTCCTGCAGTACTGAATTGACCGTTTCCCTTCCAGGAATGTCTAACGCGAAAGAAAGAAAGCATGCCAAGAAAATGAGAAACCAGCCCACCAACGTGACCTTATCCTCGGGCTTCGGGGCGGAGAGAGGCCGGAAGCTCCATAATGGAGGCGGGAAGCCCTTTTGTCCGCAGAAACCAGGTGAGAGAAACACTTGTTCCGTGCCTGTGGGGTCTGGATCGCTTGTGCCAGCCCCCTCTGAGAGGTGCCGGTCGCCAGGGACTCCCCCCAGTTTATCCCACGGCTTGGCCAGCACCGAGGTCTGGAACTGCCTCCAGCGCTCGGGCATTTGACCCTAAAATTGTCATAATCAGATGGAATGCCCCTGTTCCTTAGCGCCCCCCCGTCCACCCCCTACCCCAGGCTCCGGCATCCTAATCTCCACCTGGTCATTTTCTGCTGCTGCTCCCCAAATACATATCACCTTCCTGCTGCCTTTCACAATTATTATTATTATTATTATTATTATTATTTTTGCTTTTTGGGTCATACCTGGCAATGCACAGGGGTTACTCCTGGCTCTGTACTCAGGAGTTACCCCTGCAGTGCTCAGGGGACCATATGGGATGCTGGGAATCGAACCCGGGTCGGCTGCGTGCAAGGCAAACGCCCTCCCCGCTGTGCTATCGCTCCAGCCCCTGCCTTTCACAATTCTAACACCAAGGACTTTTTCTTTTGTTCTCTAGCCACCCCTGACGCTGTCCCAGGGTTATTCCTGGCTCTGCACTCAGGAATTACTCCTGATGGTGGTCAGAGGACCCTGTGGGATGCCGGGGATCGAACCCGGGTCAGCCGCGTGCAAGGCTGTGCTGTGGCTCCAGCCCCGGCAGGTTGGGGGATCTTAGACACACAAGGAGGATGACTGTCCTGTCCTGCTTTAAGGAAATAAGGGCGTAGGAGTAGTTGCTGAGTTGTTGCTGTGGTTAATGAAGGTAGAAATGAAAAATATGCAGAAAACTGCAAATTTTGAGGGTCCATTTGTATCTCTTTTCAAATCAGCTCATTCATTATTTAGCAGAAACTCTCAAAGGCCGATGCTCGGGGGTTTCTCCTGGCTCTGCACTCAGGAATCACTCCTGGCGGTGATTGGGGGACCCTGTGGGATGCCGGCGATCGAACCCGGGTTGGCAAGCGCCCTCCCCGCTGTGCTGTGACCACGTTGCCCGTTGATCTGGGAACGCGCCCTTCGGAAGTGTCCTCCTGGGCCCCCTGACCCGAGGGGCTCGTGTGTGACCTTCTCCGGCTCTGTGCAGAGCTGCCCACCGTGACCCCACGCAGGACGGGTTGTTCCCAGACCCTCGGCCCGGGATTGTCGTGCCCACTGGATTCTCCAGGCTTCCTCACCACCCCCGCAAGCAGCAGCCCTGCCCTGGGCCGTGCCCAGTGACTCTTTTTTTTTTGTCCTTTTCAAAAATGCACCTTAGAGCCTTCCGGACCCTCTCGACAGCGGCCCGGTAGGGTCGAGCCGGATACCAGGGAGCAGTCCTCGTCCACCGTCCTGTTCAAGAAGAAAGGGGGCTGGAAGGCGGGGCCCGAGGGCACGTCTCAGGACATCCCCAAGTATCTGACGGGTAGGTGTGGGCGCCCCTGCCCTGTTCCGGCAGCCCCCACTCCACACTCCGCTGCCTCTTCCTTCTTCCCGAGCTCCTTCCTCTACCTGCCTCTCCCCCGCCCTTCTAGAAACTGGTTCCTCCTGGGCCTAGAAGCTTCCGAGCCCCCAGCCCTCAACTCGTGGTAAAATGCCCTCTCCTCTCCGTTCCTCAGCTCAGCCTCGGCCAGAAAGGACCCCAGAGGAATCTCCCAAGGGGCGCATGTCCCTGCGTCCCTGTGGGCACCCCTGGCCCCCAGCCCTTGCTTCACGCATGCACCTTCCATGTACTCTGACCTTTCTGCTCATGTATGATTATTGGGCCGCACCCAGCACTGCTCAGGGCTTATTCCTGGCTCTGTGCTCCAGGACCCTTCTGGTGGGCCCCGGGCGGGGCGGGGGGGGGGGTTCTAGGGAGGGGGCATAAGGGGTGCCGGGGATCGAACCCAGGTCTGCCATGTGCAAAGCCAGTGCCCTACCTGCTGTTCTGCTGCTCCGGCCCCGTCTGACCTTTTGTTCTTTGAGTTTTGGGGCCACTCCTGGCAGCGTTCAGAAGTTTCTTCTGGCTCTGCACTCAGGAACTGCTCCCGGCGGTGCTTGGGGACTCTATGGGGGGCCGGATATTGAACCTGGGTTGTCCTTGTGCAACCAAGCGCCCTCCACGTCGGTTGTCCCGTCTCCGGCACCGGCTTCCCTTTTTCCCATTTTTTTCTTTTTCTGAATTAGAAACCCTGCCTTTAGATAACTTGAAAAAGATAAAAATGGGACAATCATACCTGCGTTGTGTCTTAGATGTAAGTACCCTCCTGGCCTTCTGCTGGGAGGCGCTTGGGCTCCATGTGACCTGTGAGAGGTGCTGGACACTGGGTGCCTCGAGACTCGCTGCTGGCCTGGGGGTGGGCGCTGGGGGCTGACCATGGCTCTGCTCCCAGGGTCACTCCGGCCAGCGCCTGGACCCCTGCAGACCCCCGCCCGCCCCCGCTGCCACACTTGGCTTTCCCCTCTCTTGTGGCCGGAGCGTCCGCGGGATGATGCCCCGTGCCTCACCCTGTGCCGGTTCCTTCCGCAGCGGCCACGTTCGCGCAGGCCCGGGCGGCCGAGGTCAGCGCCATGCTGAAGGCTGTGACCCAGCGCTCGTCCAACGCGCTGGTGTTCCAGACGCTGCCACGGCACATGAGGCGCCGGGCCATGAGCCACGACGTCAAACGCCTGCCCCGGCGGCTGCAGGAGATGGCCCAGAAGGAGGTGCGCCCCTCCGCTTACCCGGATAGAATATTCTGGAAGGAAAGCTGGCAGCCGGGCCGGGGGCATGGGGGTGAAGGTGCTTGCCGCATAGGGTGATCCCCAGCCCTGCCTGGTTCCCTGGGCACCCCCGGGTGTGACCTCCCATGCTCCCCCACCCCCAACAATTGTGACAACAACAAACCAAAATGACGGGCTCATTTTGCAAAACACTTGAGTTTAGTCACTCTTGGGCTGGAGCGATAGCACAGCGGGGAGGGCGTTTGCCTTGCACACGGGCGACCTGGGTTCGATTCCTCCGCCCCTCTCAGAGAGCTGGGCAGGCTACCAGCAGTATCTCGCCCGCACGGCAAAGCCTGGCAAGCTACCTGTGACATATTCGGTCTGCCAAAAACAGTAACAAGAAGTCTCACAATTTGTTGTGAGACGTTACTGGTGCCCGCTCGAGCAAATCGATGGACAGCAGGAGGACAGTGCTACAGTGCTAGTCACTATCCTGCCCGCCCCCTACAAATGAACACACTGTGAATAATGCAGCTACTTTTAAGTACGACATTTACAACGCTTTTGAAATTATTGTAATCGTTCTCACGATGTTACTTGGGCCCGCTCGAGCCAATTGATGAACAGCGGGAGGACAGTGACAGTGATTATTATTTTGGCTCTGGGGTCACACTCGGCAGTGCTCAGGGCTTGCTCCTGGCTCTGCACTCAAGGATCACTCCCGGCTGGGCCTGGGGGCCCCTTGGGATGCTGGAGATGATCCCTGATGGGCTGCCCGTAAGGTTAGTGCGTGCCCTGGCAACTGTGTTTCTCTGACCCTTAAGACTAACTTCTGGGGCTGGAGCGATAGCACAGTGGGTAGGGCGTTTGCCTTGCACGCAGCCAACATGGCCAACACAGGTTCGATTCCCAGCACCCCATAGGGTCCCCTGAGCACCGCCAGGAGCAATTCCTGAGTGCATGAGCCAGGAGTAACCCCTGAGCATCGCCGGGTGTGACCCAAAAAGCAAAAAAAAAAAAAAGACTAACTTCTTCAAAAGAGATTGTTCTTAAGCCTTGTTATGGGCAGAGATGGGGGCTGGAGGGGGGGGGGCGGGCGCGAGGCAGACCTGGCCGTGCTCAAGGGTTGTTCCTGGCTCCCTGCAGAGGAATGAGCCCTGATGTCTGGGGTCTGGGGTGACCAATCGGGCCGCTACATGCCCTGGGCACTGTCCATCCCCCCTGCCCCACCTTGTTTAAAAATACTGTGAAATCATTGGTAGTGCCCCTGCCCCCTCTCCCTGCAAGATATCAAACAGTATCTCGCATGCTGCGGCTCAGATGGTCCCCTGAGCCCCTCCAGGGGTGATTCGTGAGCACAGAGCTAGGACTAAGCCCTGAGCACCGCCAGCTGTGACCCCCCCAAAAAACCAAAATGTAAAAAAAAAAAAAATCGAAGCGAACCAACGGTTCCCACGTAACATGAAGCTCCTTGTTGGCCCGTCCCGGCCCCCGCTCCTCGCACCCGCAGGCAGAGAAGGCCGAGCACCAGAAGAAGGAGCACTCCAAGAACAAGTGCCACCGCGCCCGGCGCTGCCACACCGACAGGGTGCTGGAGTTCAACCGGCGGCAGCGGAAGAACCGGTGGCTGGAGACGCACATCTGGCACGCCAAGCGGTTCCACATGGTCAAGCGCTGGGGGTACTGCCTGGGCGAGCGGCCCACCGCCAAGAGCCACCGCGCCTGCTACCGGGCCATGACCAGCCGCTGCCTCCTGCAGGTGGGCCGCCTCCGCCCATGGGCCAAAACGGAGGGTTGCTGGGTGGAGGCATCCAATGGGGTGGGGCGGGCGCGCGGGGAGAGGTGGGGTCCGACGGGGCGGGGGCGCTTTCTTTCCATCAGCTTCGAGGTAGCTGGCACGGGGCAAGCTCGGTAGCTTTTCCTTTCTGCGAAGGGGTCTCGGGGGCCAGAGGGAGAGTGGAGTGGGGGGTTGCTGGCCTTGTAGGTGGCGGCACCCAGATGCTTCCCCCAGCCCCGCCGGGAGAGAGGCTTGAGCACAGAGCCAGGACTAAGCCCCGAGCACTGCCGGGTGTGGCCCATAAATGGAGAACTAAGAGAAGAAAAAGGCTGGTTGTCCAAATAAGCGGGAATGTCTGGTTTCAGCCTTTTTGGATCTTTATATATATATATATATATATATATATAAATTTTTTTTGGGGGGGGCTGGAGTGATAGCACAGCAGGTAGGGCGTTTGCCTTGCAACGCAGCCAACATGGCCTACCTGAGTTCGATTCCTCCGCCCCTCTTGGAGAGCCCAGCAAGCTCCCCGGGACGTATTCGATATGCCAAACACAGTAACAGCAAAGTCTCACGATGGAGACGTTACTGGCCCTGCTTGAGAAAATTGATGAACAATGGGAGGACCATGACAGCGATATATATATATATACATATATATATTTATTTATATATATATTTATATTTATATACGGTCACTGTCCTCCCGTTGTTCATTGATTTGCTCGAGCGGGCCCGGTAACGTCTCCATTGGAGATTTTGTTGTTACCGTGTTTGGCATATCGAATACGTCACGGGGAGCTTGCCAGGCTCTGCCGTGCGGGCGAGATACTCTCGGTAGCTTGCCGGGTTCTCCGAGACGGGCAGAGGAATCGAACTCGGGTCGGCCATGTTGGCTGTGTGCAAGGCAAATGCCCTACTGCTGTGCTATCGCTCCATCCCATATTTATATAAATATATAAAAATATATGTATTATATTTTATATGTATATATATATATTTTTTTTTACGAGGGTGGGAGATGTTGGGGGTTTAGGTTTGGGTCTCACCCAGCAGTGCTCAAGGCCCTGACTCCTGGCTCCGTGCTGGGGTGGGGGGGTGGTGCTTGGGTCCTTAGATGCTTAGAGCTGGGGGCAGTGGGCGGCCAGGCAGGCGTCCTCCCCGCTGTCCTTCTCGGTCCCTGGGCGCCTCTGGGCCGTGGCTCTTGGTGGCTTTGTGGCTCTTGTGGCTCTGTCCCTGCTTGGTGCCCTTTCCCCCGCCGTGACCTGTGGGTCCTCCCCCGCAGGACCTGTCCTACTACTGCTGCCTGGAGCTGCGGGGCGGGGAGGGCCCCATCCTCCAGGCGCTGGCGCCCCTCTGCAGCACTGACACAGGTAAGTAACCCCACGGCCGGGCCCTGACCTGGGCTGCTGCCCTAAGCGCGTTGAGATCGGACACCCATGAAAACGGCTTTCAAGTCCATCCCTTGCTCCCCGTCCGTTGGTACTGGGGGACCCGGGAGGTCCCTGCCGGCCCTGACCAGTGTCGGGCAAGAAGCGTCTCTGCTCAGGTGGACTGTGCCCAGGCAGGAAGCACTCACCAGGTGACTGATCTTCACGGGCGTTGCCCTCCCGGGCGTCAGACACCACGGGCGAGGGCAGGGAGGTGAAGGCAGCAGCTCTGACCCGACCCCTGACCCCCGACCTGACGGCCACGGTGTGGGGTGGGGATGCTCTGTACCCAGCCCCACACTGACCTCACGGCAGTTCCGTTGCTGGTTCCCCTCAGGCCTGACGTTCGCGGCCGTGCACTGCTTGTCCGGGAAGCGCCAAGGCAGTCTCACGCTTTACCGGGCAAACGGGTACCCCCGGGCAGCGCTGGGACCCGTCACCTTCATCTGGAAGCCCGCGAGCCGCCCCGGGGACGCCGCCGAGACCAGGCAGCTGTGGATCTGGCTACATCCTGCTCTGAAGCAGGTGAGGTCCTCAGGGTGGGCCCCCCACGGTCGCAGCAACTTGCCCTGCGGGGACTTGCGGAGCATCAGGGTGTGGCCGACAGCTCCAGTCTGGACGTGGACGGGAAGGGCGTGTGGCCGGTGGGTGAAGCCCGCCTGGTCTCCCCCGTCAGCACGCCTCCTGGGAGGAGGAGCGGAGACGGTACTGGGAAAGGCGGGGAGGTCTCCGCTTCGACCGGCTGGACGGTTCATGGCCTCTAGGGTCCTCCTAGAGCCTTTTTTGAAGATGAGGAACTCGATGGTTTTGAATGCTCACGGTCAGTGCAACTTCCCTTCATTGCTGTTCCCACATACGGCAGAAATGAAATTTCTCTTGAAAAAATTAATTTTTTTTTAATGGGGCTGGAGTGTTATGCGGGTGGGGTGATTGCCTGGTGTGTGGCCAACCCAGATTCAGTCCTCAGCATCCATATGGTACCCTAAGCCCACTGGGAGTGATCTCTGAGTGCAGAGCCAGGAGCAAGCCCTGAGCACTGCCGGGTGTGTCCCCCAGACAATAAACAAACAAAATATTCGGCCAGTGTACTCCTATCTTTTGCCTTAATATTGAGCATTGGGGTGTTTGTTGTGGTTTTTAAAGTTTTTTTTTTTTAATGTAGGAGTACTGTTATTTATTAATCAGCCATTGATTAAGCTGATTGAATTGGGCATGAATTCCGAATTACTTTTTTTTTTTTTAACGATCATGATCACAACCATCCTGTTATTCGTCGATTGCCTCGAGCAGGCACCAGTAACGTCTCCTTCGCCCTAGCCCTGAGATTTTTAAAAAAGAAATGCCATATTCAAGACTCTTTCAGAGTTAGGAGAATGAGACCCTTCATTGTTACTGGTATTTGGCATATTGGGGACGCCACGGGGAGTTTGCCAGACTCTGCTGTGCGGGCAGGTCACATTCGGTAGCCTGCCAGGTTGTCCAAAGTAGGAATGAGAGCCGGGTTCGATTCCTCCGCCCCTTTTGGAGAGCCTGGCAAGCTACCAAGAGTATCACGCCTGCACAGCAAAGTCTGGCAAACTACCTGTGACGTATTCGATATGCCAAACACAGTAACAAGTCTCACAATGTTACTGGGCCCGCTCGAGCAAATCGATGATCAACGGGAGGACAGTGACAGTGACAGTTCTTTTCTTTTCTTTTTTCTTTTCTTTTCTTTGCTTTTCCTCCCTGTATACACAGGGGAGTTATTTTTTTGCTCAGGTGCGGTGCACCCTTCAGAATATCCGAAAGCTTTCTGAGGATGATGAATTTGTCTTTGTGTTTTGTAACCAGAGGGGAAAGCCCAGAGCCTCACACGGGGATGCCGGTGCCCCTGGGACCCTTGAATTTAGTGTAGTCTGTGAAGGGAGAAAAATCGAAATTTTTGATTTCAATTTTTTTTTTTTTTTTTGGCAGGGGAGGAGACCCTGTCATCCATGTACTTAGCTCTTGAACCTTGAAGTCCCCAGCTTAACATGGGAATTTGAATTTGATTACTGTGTGTCCTGGGGGGCCGAACCCAGCGGTGCTCAGGGGCTGTTCCTGACAGTGGTGCTCGGGGAACCCTGTGGGGCACCCCCTGTACCAGTGCTCCAGCTCCAGGGTTTTCTCCTGACCCAGTGCTCAGGAGTGGTCCCTGGCAGTGCTCGGGTGCCAGGGATTGAACAGGGCCGCATTAAACGCCTTAATGCCTGAACGATCTCTCTGGTCCCTAAAACTCTAAAATGGGAATTTCGGGGTTTGGGCTAGGGAGAGGGTCCCAGCCAGGGGTTCTCAGGGCTTTCTCCTGTCTCTGCGCTTGCTGGTGAGTCTTGGTGGGCTCGGGGGACCCTGTGGGGTGCTGGGGGATTGCATCTTGGTCAGCTCTGGACAGGGGAAGTGCCCTCCCCGCTGTCCTATCGCTCCAGCCCCTAGGATGGGAATTTTTTTTTTTTTTTTTTTGCTTTTTGGGTCCCACCTGGAGATGCTCAGGGCTGACTCCTGGCTCTGCACTCAGGAATTACCCCTGGCGGGGCTCAGGGGACCATATGGGATGCTGGGAGTCGAACCCGGGTCGGCCGCGTGCAAGGCAAACGACCTACCCGCTGTGCTATCGCTCCAGCCCCTAGGATGGGAATTTTTTTTTTTAAAGAAACATTTATTTATTTATTTAAAATTTTTTTTTTTTCTTTTTATTAGTGAAATACCATGAAGTACAGTTGTAGATTTACAATTTTTTGTGCTTGGGTTTCGATTATATGGATGGGAATTTTTTAAAAGGAGGATAAAAACACTCAGTAAAGGAAGCCGCCTTCAAGTTGTCACGCATTTAGACTTGAAAACATTCGACCGTGTGCCTGTCCCCTTAGGACATCCTGGAGGCCATCCAGGCCGCGTGCCAGTGCACTGAGCCGGCCGGCGCCCTCGATCCCCTCCCGACGCCAGCCCCCGGCACATGCCCCACGGAGCCGCCCGCCAAGCAGCCTGGCCGGAAGAGGAAGCGGGGCCCCGGCGGGGAGGATGCCACGGCAGCCAAGAAGGTCTGCGGCGACGGGACGCAGCCGCACCAGCCCCGGGCCTGGGTCTCCCCGGCTACTGGCATCACTGTCAGGTGCGGGTGGGGCTGCGGGTTTGTGGACGTGGAGTGTTCTGAGGGAGAGAGGCGATTTTGGTGACGGGGAGTTTGTTGTTGTTTGGGGTCACACCCAGTGATGCTCAGGGGTCACTCCTGGCTCTGCGTTCAGGAATCACTCCTGGCGGATCTCGGGGGACCCTATGGGATGCCGGCCGGGGATGGAACCCGGGTCAGCCACATGCCAGGCAGATACCCTCCCCGCTGTGCTCTCACTCTGACCCAGTATGTTGGGACGCTCTTAGGGACAGGGATAGTGTGTTTGGCGACCGGGACATTCTCGGCGATGGGACGTTCTCGGTGGTGGGGACGTTCTCATTGGGGACGGTGGCCCCACCTGGACCCTCAGTGCAGGGAGTTCCCACACTTGGAGCTTTTCTGTCTTCAGTGACCTGACAATGGAGCTCAACAGATTCCGTCTCATTGGTCCCCTGTCCCACTGCATCCTGACGGAGGCCCTGAAGGCAGCTCCTGTCCACACGGTAAGTCTCTGACTCAGTCCTCGGGGACCTCACAGGGTGTGGTCGGTTGGTGCCTGGGCTCAGGGCCCGGTCTTGGTGCTTCTCCCGTCCCAGCCGGGATGCGCGGGAGGAGGAGCCAAGAGGGTGTCCATCCCCCTGCACTTCTGCTCTGGGACCGAGAGGGCGTCCGTCCCCCTGCACCCCTGCTCTGTGACTGAGAGGGCGTCCGTCCCCCCGCACCCCTGCTCTGTGACCGAGAGGGCGTCCGTCCCCCCGCACCCCTGCTCTGATGAAGGCCAACAGGCAGATTGGAGCCTGAGGGCCGCTCCTTCCCCCGCTCCCTCTGTCCCTGCCCCAGTCGCCTAGCAGCTGGTCCACAATGTCCAGACGGTGAGTGGCCACCGCTGCCCTTCCCGTGGCCGCAGGACACAGGAGCCGCTCCCGCTGGGCATAGCCGCCGCCAGACCCGGGGCCCTGGGGAGCGTCTCCCCCTCCCTGCCTGGCCCCTCACAAGACACTCACCTGCACAGCATGAGGTCGGGCATCTGGGGCCCCCGCAGCTGAGTCCCCACCGTCACCCGGAGAGTTTTCTTTGCAGGAGGCCGAGGAAGAGACGCCGCACGTCTGGTGGGCCGACGCCTGCCGCAGCCCGGCCCACGTGGACCTGCACCGCAGACAGGAAGCCACGTTCCGGCTGCTGGGAGGTAGGTGGGCGGGAGCGAGAGAGAGAGAGAGAGAGAGAGAGAGCGGACTGTGGGCCACCGTGGGCAGGGCAGTGGCGGGAGGGGGCTCAGCCGTCCCCAGGGTCAGACCAGCGCTGCTGGGCGTGGACCGTCCACAAAGGGGCCAGGCGCCTTGAACTCTTCTTCCTCTTGGCTGGGGGAAGCGATCGGGTTTGGGTGCCACACCCGGTGATGCTGGGGTTGACTCCTGGCTCTGTGCTCAGGAATCCCACCTGGCAGTGCTCGGGGGACCCTCTAAGGAGCTGGGGATGGAACCCAGGTCAGCCAGAGGCACGACCAGCGCCCACCTGCCCGCTGGCCTGGCTCCGGCCCCTCGGCTAGCCTCTCCGAGAGTCGGGCCCGGGCCAGCAGCCATGGGGGCCTCGCGCCTTGTCTGTTCTGCGTCTGCTCCCCCAGGCGTCTCGTCCCCGGCAGAGCTGCCCGCTGGTACGGTGTTGGGACTGACGGTGGGCGACCCACGCGTCAACTTGCCTCAGAAGCGGGCCAAAGTGTTGCCCAGCCCAGAGAACTGCCCAGGTAAAGTGTGTCCCGCAGCCCCCGACTCTCCCGTCCCCCCAGGACCCCCTCCCCCGGGCCACTGTCATCCCCTCACCTGCCCCAGGGAGGGGACGCCGTGAGGGGCAGGCCCTTGGCGGCAGGGCGCGTGGCTCCCTGCGAGGCTAAGGGTGTCTCCACCCGCCACCGGCCGCCTTTCCACACGGAGCCGAGGAAGGTTCTCTGCGCCCACAGCTGGTCTTGTGCTCAGTGGAAGCCTCTGTCCTACCGTACAGATGATCCAGGTTCGAATCCTGGCAAGGCCATCCCGGGCTGCAGTGACTCGCGTCTGGGTTCAGGTGGGACAGTGGCCCGAGGGAGAGAGTTCCTGGGCAGGGGCCGCTCAAGGGTGGGTCGCTCCAGGGCTCATTTCTGGTCATCTGAACACAACTGATGGGGGAATAGTTAACATCAGCCCCTGAGTTTCAGAGGGGGGTTGCATTCTCAGTTGTTTGACCTCCACACGGAGCCGTTACATGGAGGTTATTAGGGAGCTGTAAAATGGTGTCAGAGGGGCTGGAGCGATAGCACCGTGGGGAGGTTGTTTGCCTTGTATGCTGCCGACTCGGGTTCAATCCCCTCCCCCCCGCCCCAGCATCCCATCTGGTCCCCCGAGCACCGCCAGGAGTGATTCCTGAGTGCAGAGCCAGGGGTAAACCCTGAGCGTTGCCAGGTGTGGTCCAAAACCAAAATAAAAAGTGGCCTCAGAACTTCACACGAAAGGTGGGTGTGGGAGTTTGTATGGGTCTGGCTGGTAGGTAGAGTCTGACGCCGGAGCGTCCCTTGACTGGCTGTGAGGTGTCAGGCCACGGGCCAGTCCGGTTCCGGACGGAGGCCCTCGAGTTGCTTCAAAGCATCTTTGTTTTAGTGCAAAGGGATAATTTACTGCCAATAATTACACTCTAGTTTCTTTTACTGCCTCGCATTCTTTTCCAGACAGAAGTGGTGATCTGGTATCATCCTTCCCAAGGTTTCTTTTATCTTTTTTTTTTTTTTGGGCCACACCAAGCAGTGCCCAGGGATGGATGACTCCTGGCTCTGTGCTCAGGGATCGCTCCTGGTAGTCTTAGGGATGCCACGGGTTGAACCCAGGTTGGCCAGTGCCCTACCCGTCGTGACATCTCTCCGGCCCCTTGGGGTCTTCTTTGAAAAACATGACAGCCCAAACCAGTGACCTGGTAGCTGGGAAAGCGTGTGGCTGAGTTCTTGAGCTTCTCTGGCGGCTCAGGGCGGGGACCAGGCTGGATGGACGAGGAGGTGCAGGAGGGATCTGGGAGGGGAGGGGAGGAGGAGGAAGAGGAGGAGGAGGAGGAGCAGAGCCGGAGTAGGAGCTGGATTCCTCGCCGGCCCTTCAGAGACGCGCTCTGGGATCCCGCGGTCCTGGGACTTGAGTCACCTCTTAGCCGCGTTCGCTCTGTCCGGCCTCTTAGCCCGGCGTTTCTCGCTGTAAGTAACTGGTTTCCTGGGGGAGATTTTAAAATCTGAATGACCTGTGCCATTCTTGCAGGAGTTGCTTCTCTTCCTCGCACTAATCTGCTCGTCTGCCCTCCAGAGCTGGGCTGGCTGGCGGTGTTCACGGAGCTGGCCGCTTGCGCACGCACAGTTGGGGGTGGCTTGGCGCCGTGCACCTGTCTCGGCCTTTCCCTTCGACCACACTCTTTGGGGGTCTCTGCCCTAGACAGGACGGGCTCGCGTGGCCTTGGAATGGTGGCAGGACCGTTGTCTTCTTGTCTTCTCTGGAACGTCTGGAGGCTCCTGGCTCATTTTCCCGTTCCCCAATACTCACTTTCTGCTCTTGGGAGAAAGAAGCCTCGGGCCTTTGACTGGACCCTTACATGGTTCTGTAGGCACTGGAGCGAGAGCACAGCTGGGAGGGCATTTGCCTTGTATGTGACTGACCCAGGTTCGATTCCCAACATCCCATATGGTCCCCTGAGCACCGCCAGGAGTAATTCCTGAGTGCAGGGCCAGGAGTAACCCCTGTGCATCACTGGCTATGACCCAAAAGGGAAAAAAAAAATCTGTATGACTCATGGGAAGTAGGTACATCCCGACTTACCTGATGCCCCAAATAATAAAGCTTTGTGCTTATTTTGTGTATATTCACCTTTCTAGGTGAAACTTAAAGCTTTGAGTTATCAATCTTAAAATATACTTCAAGGTTTATTTATTTTTGTATTTGGTTTTTGTTTTTGGGCCACATCTGGTGTGGGGGGCCCGCAAAACCACTCTCCGGCCCGCGGAGGTGGCCCTAGGATCCGTAGGTGCAGGGAAGGACCGACCGAATGAACACGAGACACAAGAGACAGAATGCAGCTCAGAAACAGAGAGAAAAAGGGACAGACTTTATTGGGGGCAATCAGGGTATATATCCATTAGTGAGGCAGCTACACTAAAGGTCGTGCCCATATATGGTTAGGAAGGTTTGTTTTCACCTATCATGCCTTACAAGGTTTATGTGTCTCTCGTACCAGACACGAGGTGATTACACAAAGGGCCGCGTCCATATGACTTACCAGACATGAGGTAGATACACAAAGGGCCATGTTCATATGATTTATAAAATTTATACGTATCACGTACCAGACACGAGATTAGTTACTTCTTGTTATTACTGACAGCCATGACAGATGTTCTCTCAGGATAACCATACATCAAGATAACCATACATAGCACTGGTTTTGCCTGTTGCGGGGTCACGTAGGTCAAGATGACCATACATAGCACAGGCTGTGCCTGCTGTGGGGTCGTAGGTCAGGATGACCATACAGGCACTTAGGCGTTGGTCAGTTAAAGGGCCAGCTTCCCACAATCTGGTTTTTTTTTTTTTTTGCTTTTTTTGGGGTCACACCCGGCGATGCACAGGGGTCACTCCTGGCTCTGCACTCAGGAATTACTCCTGGCGGTGCTCGGGGGACCCTATGGGATGCTGGGAATCGAACCCAGGTCGGTCGCGTGCAAGGCAAACGCCCTACCCGCTGTGCTATAGCTTTAGCCCCAACATCTTTTTTTTTTTAGGGCTTAGTCCTGGCTCTGTACTCAGGGATCACTCCTGGTGGGTTTGGGGGGGCCAGTGGGGTGCTGGGGATCGAACCCGGATTGGGTGGATGCAAGGCCAGCGTCCTCTCCGCTTACTCCCTTTCTCTCTGGCCCCTCAGATGCACTTAAGGAAGGAGGAAGGTGGCTCCTCCTTTTGGCCCTCAGGTCCCAAGTCTGGGGCTCTGCAGGGGACTCAGAATAGGGTGACGCCTCGGGCTGACACACACACGCGTTTCAGGCCAGCAGTGATGCTCCCTCACGCTTCACACCTTTGCCGGCGCTTGACTTAATTTTGTGGAACCGTTTTAGACTCAACATAGCTGAGTGGGAGGTCCAAAGAGCCCTGGGCTTCTCCCACCCCTCCCCCCCCACCAGGTGCCCTGGGTGATCCGTTGTCCTCAGGGGCCACAAGCCCGAGCAGCCACCAGAGCTGGTCTAAGCTGTGTCTGCTCTCGGTGACGACTTTCTGCCGGGCTCACCGGTGACTGTTGGCATCACGCAGAGTGGCCTCACCCTCTAAAACCCTCTTTGGGCTCTGCCTGCCGGCACCACCACCCCTAGCCTGCAACCCCTGGTCTTGTCACCCTGCCTTTTTTTTTCTTTTCTAGAATGTTCTACCGTGGGAACCGCACATTCCTTTCCTGCTAGCTCTGACCTCGTGCTTCCTCCTGCTTCCTCCTCGTCTCTGTTTTGCGTCGGCTCTTTGGAGATGGCGCTCGGCTCCCTTTCCCGCTGGGGATTAGCCAGTCCCCCTGGGTGTGCCGTGTCTGTGTGTCTGTCCTGGGGTCACTGTCACTCCCGTCTCCGGGAGAGGAGCCCAGCCTGAGAGAACTCAACTGCTATGTTTGTTCTGTTTGGGGCCGCACTGGGCAGTGCTCAGGGGTCATTTCTGGCCCCATGCTCAGGAATTCTAACTGGCAGTGCTCGGGGCGGACTGGAGCGATAGCACAGTGGGTAGGGTGTCCGCCTTGCACACGGCTGGCACGGCCGACGCAAGTTCGATTCCTCCGTCCTCTCGGAGAGCCCGGCAAGCTACCGAGAGTATCTCGCCCACACGGCAAAGCCTGGCAAGCTACCTGTGACGTATTCGATATGCCAGACACAGTAACAAGTCTCACAATGTTACTGGGCCCGCTCGAGCAAATCGATGAACAACGGGAGGACCGTGACAGTGACAGTATTCAGGGACTGGACGGGCTGCCGGGGATGGAACCAGGTCGGCCCGTGTGAGGTGCGTGCCTCCCTGCCAGGCTGTCACTCGTGAAGTGTTCTCAGGGCCCATCTCTCCATCATGTCTGTCCGTCTGTTTTTGTTCAGTCTGTTCCCATATGCCCCTGTCATGTCCAGCCTGTTCTGTCCCCAGCCTTAGATGGAGTAGGTGGGTGCCTGAGTGACCCTCCGACGCAGCCCACCCATTGTTGGATGCGTTCTGACTCCTTCAGTCCAGCATTGGGAGGCTTTCCTCTGAGTGTTGAGCTGGCACTCTGGTCTCTGTGTGGCTGACGCGGAAACAGCCTCGTTGTCTCACACTAGAGAAAAACGTGTCTGACACGGTGATCTGGGTGCTGCCACCTGTGGCCAGCGAGTCACGGTCAAGGGTGAGCCCTGGTGGTGCCCAGAGGCGTCAGCATGGCCAAGATGGGAACGTGTGTGTGTGTGTGTGTGTGTGTGTGTGTGTGTTGGGTCACACCTGGCGATGCTCAGGGGTCACTCTTGACCCTGAACTCAGCGATCACTCCTGGCGGGGCTCAGGGGACCATATGGGATGCCGGGATTGAACCCTGGTCAGCCACATGCAAGGCCAGTGTCCTTCCCGCTGTACTGTCGCTCTGCCCCCTGGAAATCGACCTTCTTGCAGAGAACAAACAGTGTCCCCATCACCCCGGCCACCTGCCCGCAAGGCTGTTGCTGCCCCTCATCTGTCCGGCGCCCCCCGGGCCGGCGTCCCCTTCTTTGGGGAAGCGACTAAGGAATGTGGGTTGAAGGGTCTTTCTCTTCCCTCAGACCAGGACGAGGTCAGACGGCTGCTTCTGGAGGGTGTGCCCGCTGAGTGCGCACGCAGCTTGCTCTGGGACCCGGATGTGTGCAGGAGTGTCACCGAGAAGAAGCTCTCGGAGCAGGTACTGACCCTCTCTCGGGCCACAAGCAGCTTCCTCCTCCTGGCCCTCTTCGTGAGCCCCTTGGCCCGGAGTGTGGGGGAGGGGGTGTGGAGAGGGGTGCGTGAAGATGAGGGTCCCATTTGGGCTGCCCTGCGGGTGCTCACAGCCTCCCTGCAGGCAGTGGGGGACCCACGTGAGGGCCGGGCTTCTTTCCCCTCTGCGGCCGCTGTCAGAGCCTTGTCAGTGCTCGCAGCCGCCTGTGTGGGAAGAGGGTCGGGTGTTGCTATGGACTGAGCACAGAGGCGGGGGCAGTTGTGTGGAGACACAAGTGTGTGTGTGTGTATGTGTGTGTGCATGTGTGTATGATTGCGCATGTGTGTGCATGTGTCTGAATGGAGTCTGTCTCTCTCCTGGTGTGTACACATGTGTCCTCATTGAATCTGCTGGCATGATGCACGTGTGTCCGTGGATACATGTGGGTTGATATGTGTGTGTGTGTGTGTGTGTGCGCGCGCGTGTTCGGTGCTGGGGCCCTGAGACGTGGCGCCTTGTCTGTCGCAGTGCTTGGGAGCACTCGGGAGCACTCAGCACTCTGTGGATTCTGGACTCACAAGGGCGGCTCACGGTGCTTTCTCTGAGAACCAGCTCGGAGGATGGGAGCTCCAGAAGCTGCCCCTGGGGGTCCCCAGGGAACCTTCCAGAAGCCCCAGGTGTCGTCTTGACCAATTTTCTCCTCGTCCAGGACCTGAACCGGAGGAGGAGCGAGCTGCTGGTGCCTGGCTCGCAGCTGGCTTTGGGGCCGCAGGAGTCCAAGATCCCCGTCCTCCTGGTCCAGCAGCCCGGGAAGGTGGCTGGTGACGACTGTCTTGGCTGGGGCAGCGGCTGGGACGTGCTGCTCCCCAAGGGCTGGGGCATGGCCTTCTGGATCCCCTTTGTAAGTGCCCAAAGGGGCCGCCCTCTGGCCCGGTCCTTGCACCCCCGCTGTGAGCTGCCTCCCACGCCTCCCTGGGGCCCCGATGCTGTCCTGGGCCCCCAGTGCTGTCCTGGGCCCCTGGTGCAGCACAGCCTGTTATCATGGGGACGGTGGGGACCTTCTGCGGCCTGGGCAGGCAGGCGCGTTTCACCCAAGCACGTCGCAGTCCCAGTGCCAAAGGCCTTTTCTCTGTGCCACGGCTCTGCAGAGGGCTGGCCTGCACCTGGCCCTGCCCAGGGGCTCCTCCTGGCTAGTGCTCAGGGATCTTTCCTGGCGGTGCTTGTTAAGGTGTTGGGAAGCAGAGGCCTCCTTTGTGCTGCCTGCCCAGGAGGGAGCCCTGGCCACGCTCAGGGACCAGACATGCCCGGGGTGGAACTGGGGTGGCCGCCCACCTATCTCAGCCGGTGTCCTAGCTCCCTGGCCCTCGTGCTGCCTGTACTGCTGTATCAGGTGTGTCCGGCCGCCCCAAACAAGGGCATTCTGGTTGACAGGTCTTTCTTTTTTTTTTTTTTAATTTTGTGCAGCGGGGCTGGAGCGATAGCACAGCGGGTAGGGCGTTTGCCTTGCACGCAACCAACATGACCGACCCGGGTTCGATTCCCAGCATCCCATATGGCTCCCCAAGCATCGCCAGGATTCATTCCTGAGTGCATGAGCTAGGAGTAACCCCTGAGCATTGCCGGGTGTGACCCAAAAAGAAAAAAAAAATTTTTGTGCAGCATGTAGGTTTTTAATTAATTTATTCATTTATTTTTGGGTCACACCCGGCAATATATAGGGGTTCCTCCTGGCTCTGCACTCAGGAATTACTCCTGGCGGTGCTGGGGGACCGTATGGGATGCTGGGAATCAAACCCGGGTTGGCCACGTGCAAGGCAAATGCCCTCCCCGCTGTGCTATCGCTCCAGCCTCTGTTTTTGTTTGTTTGTTTTGTTTTGTTTTGGGACCACACCAGGTGGTGCTCAGGGCTGACTCCTGGCTCTGCACTCAGCGATCACTCCTGGCGGGGCCAAAGGACCTTCTGGGATGCTGGGGATTGAACCCGAGTCGGTCACATGCTGGCCAAGTGTCCTGCCCTCTTTACTCTTGCTCCGGCCCCTAAGATGATTCTCACCGAATGAAATTCGGCGGGCATCTGTGTCCCTCAGCTGGCTCTGTGCCTCTGCCTGGTGGTGTTTCGGGCTTGGGCGACAGGCTCTGTTTGTGCCAGAACCAGCCACCCTGGAATTCTCTGGAAGGGGCCCTTGTGGGCAGCCCCATCTCTGTCCCCGAGGGGCGGCGGCTGAGCGGCCCTGGGCTGTTTCTGGTAGATCTACCGCGGCGCCCGAGTCGGAGGCTTGAAGGAGACGCTGGTGCATTCTCAGTACACCCGGTTGCCGAGTGTGCCGGGTGACTGTCCCGACACCCCTGCCGGGGCCCGCTTTGCTGAGGAGCGAGCGAAGGAGCTTCTGGAAAAGTACAGAAGGTACGAGACGGGTGCGGGAAGGGGCGGGAAGCGCAGTGGTTGGGGCAGGGTGGCCTGCGACTCTTCTTTCGTTCGTGGCCCTCAGGCTCACCCGGGGCTCCGGGCCCTGCACGGGCGGGGGATGGACCCTGTCCTCCCTCTTCGTCACCCCACTTGGGAAATTCCTCTCTCGGGACTGGCACCTGTCGGCCCCCGCGGGGTCCAGAGCTGGCTCCAAGGGGACCTTCACTATGCATCGTCTCTGTTAACAGGGGCTGTTGTCAGCGGGAGGCGCTGGGGACAGGCGGGACTGGGGTCCTCCGACTCGGGGCTCTGCGGGTGCTGGCCGTGGGCCCGGCCATGGCCGTGTCCTCCTACACAGGGACAGGAGGGTCCAGGCGGAGGGGATGGGTCACAGCACTTGGCCGACCCTGGTTCAATTCCTGGAGCCCCGTAGGGCCCCCACCCCGCCGCACTGCCGGGAGTGATCTCTGAGCACAGAGCCAGGAGTCAGCCCTGAGCACTGATGGGTGCAGCTTGAGAGAGAAATGAGGATCCCTGGCTCCCCACTCTCTCTGACACGCTTCTCTCTCCATTCCACAGACGCCCCCCAGCCAAGCGGCCCAACTACGTGAAGCTGGGCACGCTGGCGCCCTTCCAGTGCCCCTGGGAGCAGCTGACCCAGGAGTGGGCAGAGCGGGCCGTGGCGGGAGAGGGCCCCGGGCCCCAGGGGTCAGGCCAGGAGGCCGGTGATGGGGCCGCAGAGGGCCCGGGTCAGGCAGGCGCCAGTGGCATCTGTGTCCTTAGGTGAGTCCCGCAGCCGCAGGGGGTCGGGGGGGGGGCTGGGAGCCACTTCCTGCCAGTGGGGCCTGAGGGTGCCTTGGTGGGTGCCAGGGGAGGGGCCTGTGGTGCTGGGAGCAGACCCTGGGTCGTCCTGTGCTGCCCCTTGACCCCCATGTGGGCTGGTGTCTCGTGGGTCAGGGTCGGGGCTGAGCAGGGCCCCGTGTGTGACACCCAGGGCAGTTGGTGCTTCCGGCCCTCCTGGTCTAAGGAGGCCGCTAGGAAGAACTGAGGAAACGCTCTTTAGGGGCTTGGGGCGATGGCACAGTGGGTATGGCGTTTGCCTTGCATGCAGCTGACCTGGGTTCGATCCCCGGCATCCCATATACTCCCCCGAGCACTGCCAGGAGTAATTCCTGAGCATCACCAGGTGTGACCCAAAGAGTATTGTAGCACTGTAGCACTGTCCTCTCATTGTTCATCGATTTGCTCAAGCGGGCCCAGTAACGTCTCCATTGTGAGACTTCTTGTTACTGTGTTTGGCATATTGAATACTTCACGGGTAGCTTGCCAGGCTTTGCTGTGCGGGCGAGATCCTCTTGGTAGCTTGCCGGGCTCTCTGAGAGGGGTGGAGGAATCAAACCTGGCCCGGCCCGGCCGGCTGCATGCAAGGCAAACACCCTACCGCTGTGTATCATTGAACTTCTAGGGATGAGACCCAAAAAGCAAAAAAAAAAAAAGAAAAGAAAAGAAAAAAGCTCTTTGATTTGGGGCTGGGTCCTGATTGCAGAGCTGGGGGTCAGGGGACGGGTTGGGGCCACACCCATTGATGTTCAGGGGTTACTCCTGCTTCTGGGCTTAGGGGTCTCTCCTCGGGGGCTTCTGGGATCATTTGGTGTTCTGGGGATTAAACCCAGGTTGGCTGTGTGCAAAGAAGGTGCCCTACTCATTATTATGTCATACTTCAGACCCCCAGGAAATTAAAAAAAACTCACCTGTTTCACTAATAAAAAAGTAAACAAAATTTATTTTGAATTTGGTCCAGCGGGCAGGGCACTGGCCTTGCACGCATCCAGCCTGGGTTTGAATCCAATCCTGGTCCCCGACGTGGTCCCCTAAGAGCTGCCAGTAGAGCCCGGAGTAAGCCGGTGACCCGCAGGGCCCTCACCGTGTCCCTCCCTCTCTCCCACCCGCAGGAGCAGGCGCGGCCTGAAGCAGCTGTCGGCCTGGTGCGCACCCAGCGGAGGAGGGCGACGGCCACCAGAGCTGAGTGCTGAGGCCTGCGGGTCCCTGTGCGGCCGCTTCCCGCGGGCCCTGGCGTGGGTCAGCCTCTTCCCGCTGTGCCGGGGCAGCCCCCAGCCTCACACCCTCATCTGCGTCCCCGCTGCCGGGGACCTGCAGCGGCTGCGGGGGGATCGCCACTACGGGGGGCCCACCGAGCCCAAGCACAGCGACCCCTTCAAGAGCCGCGTCCGCAGGGAGAAGGAGGAGAGGCGGAGGGGGGCAGGGCCGGCCCCCACGCCCGCCCCCACGCCCACCCCCACGCAGGGGCTGTGGCCGGGTCCACTCCCGCCCCTCACGGCCCACGGCGCCCGCCCACTCCTCGGCTTCGTCACGCAGGGAGACTTCTCCATGGCCGTGGGCCGGGGCGAGGCCCTGGGCTTCGTCAGCGTGACGGGCCTGCTGGACATGCTGGCCAGCCAGCCGGCCGCCCAGCGGGGCCTGGTGCTGCTGCGGCCCCCCGGCTCCCCGCAGTACCGGTTCGCCAGGATCGCCATCGAGGTGTGAGGCCGGCGGGAGCTGGGCCCTGTCCCCCCTGCCCCCACCCCTTTCCAGTGACCTCTGGGGCCTGTGGATCAAGTGTCCACTGCATTGCAGCCCCCTCGGGGCTCCTCTGGCTTCCCCAGCCACCGGGCGTCCTTGGGCACCCGGGTGTGACCCCCCCCACCCCCGTGCTCCCCTGGGACCCCGTCTCGGTCCCTTCTCATCATCAGGGACAAAGAGTTGTCAAGTGTCTGGAGATAGAACCTCTGCTGCCTGCTAAGCCGCGGGTTCCCGGGTTGGTGTCTACAGAGTGTCCGAGTGTATGGACAGCCCCTGGGCCCTGTCCACACGGACAGCCGGCCGCTGCCTCCCCCGGGCTGGAGTGAGAGAGAACCGGGTCAGAGTGTTCTGACCTTTTTCTTGCACCTGCTTCCTTTTGGTGGTTAGCCAGCACGGGACCCCGAGGAATGACCTGAAGCTTCTCTGTGCAGCCCCCCTCTCACGTGCCATGAGGCGTGTTGCCCAGGGGAGGAAAAGAAGGACCCCTGCGCCAGGCCGGTTTAGGGAACCGGGGGAAGGGAAGCTAGCGTTTTCTCTCTAGAACCTTCCGGGTGCTGAGCTGCCAGGCGGTGGAGGGCATGCGCTTACGTCTTCTCCGTCTTTCTGACCCTGAGGTCCAGGCCCACGGCTCAGTGATGATGAAAATGACCAAACGCTGCTTGTGTTTGGGGACTTGGGGGCTCTGATTGCAGCTCGGTGCTGGGGCCTCCTGTCCCCTGGGGGGCGCCAGCTCATGGCGATTTTTGTCTCTGAGATCAGTTTTCTGGGTCCTTAATTTGTTGTTCTGCATGTCTGGTTTTTCTTTTCACCCACTCTCTTCTTGCCAAATTTGGGTGGGATTTTTTTTTTCCTGCCCTTTTTAATGTCCATGTTTTGGTGTTTGGTAAATGCACTGGTTCTCTGCAGGAGGACGGGCCAGGTCTTATCCCGGGAACCAGGCATGGCCAGCCGGGCCGCCTTGCTGTGCCAATGCCTTCTGCCCGGCCCAGCGGAGACGGGGCATGGGGGAGGAAATCTCTCCTGCCATAGTGTCTGTAAAGAGAATGAAGTAAAATATCACCTGCAGCCCAGTTGTATTTTAGTCATTCTATTGCTTGGGTTTTGGGGTCACAACGGAGGGGGCTCGAGTCACCCCCAGCAATGCCCAGGGGACTGTGGTGCGGGGGAGCGGGGGCCTCCTGCGTCGGGTCCCGTGCTCAGCCCCTGCACCATCCCCTGACCAGTGGTCAGCAGTGGCTGGCCGTCTCTCACCTGTCTCCCAGGCCCCGAGCCGCTGCTCCCTCTTGCTGGGGGATCAGGGCATCCAGGAGGCACCCGACCTCGTTCTTGGGGTTCCTGCCCGGGGCTCCGGCTGTGCCCAGGCCACGGCCCTGGTTTTAGGAGGGCAAATGTCGATACACCCCCAGGAGAGATGGGCGGTCTCCACTGTGCGCTCCTGGGCGAGGGGCCCCTCAGAGGTGTTTGCTGGGCGGGAAGTGTGAGTGCAGCTGAGGGTGTGTGTGTGTGTGTGTGTGTGTGTGTGTGTGTGTGTGTGTGTGTGTTGGGGGCTGGGGGCTGTGGGCTGTGGTCCGTCCAGGCCCCTTGCAGGAAGGATCATGCACAGACACCTGTGTTGGACTTTTTGCCATCCTGATGGTCCAGAGAAAACTGGTTTTGAAAATTTCTGGGGTTTTTTTTTTTTTTTTTGGCCACATTCGGCGGTGCTCAGGGCTGAGTCCTTGCCCTTCACTCCGGGGACCCTATGTGATGCTGGGGAGCAAACCCAGGTTTGCTGCCTGCAAGGCAAGTTCCCGCCCCCCTGTGCTTGCTGGCACTGAGAACACTTTTTAAAATGGAATTTTTTTTAATCTCTCATTTTTTTTAATAAGTTTTATTGGATCACTGTAAGATACAGTTACAAACTTGTATGATTGCATTCCAGTCACACAATGCTCGAGCCCCAATCCCTTCACCAGTGCACATTTCCCACCACCGTTGTTCCCAGTGTCCCACCTGCCACCCCACTCCCTGCCTCTGTGGCAGGTACCATCCTTCTTACTCTCTGATTCTGGGCATCGTGGTTTGCAATACAGATAACTGAGAGGTCGTCGTGTTTGGTCCTTGGTCTACTTTCAGCACACATCTCCCATCCTGGGCGATCCCCCCAGTCCTCATTGACTTAGTGGTTCCTTCTCCATCCCAACTGCCTTTTCCCCAGCGCGTGGGACGGACCAGCTTCCAAACTGGAGTGATCCTCCTGGCCCTTATCGCCACTGTCCTTAGGTGTTAGTCTCATATTGTGCTGCGTGGTTGAAATGGAAGAGTCTTTGAAGACACTGGCAGAACTTGCACAGATGAAAGAATTCACTTCTAGCTCATTTTAGTCACTGTGATGTACAAAGCTGTTGGCAAGAATTTCTTTCTGTTATTGACTCACTGGGATAGACCCTTCATGTTGACGAGTGTTCAAGGCACATCATGTTCCATTCCAGTCCCACCACTAGCGTCCACACCCCCGCCCGTGACCCCAGTTCCCTCCTTCCTGAAGCCTGTCTCCTTGCTGGGCATTTTTGCTTGTTTGGGGCGACACCCTGCAGTGCCCAGGGCTGACTCCTGGCTCTGCACTCAGAAATCACTCCTGGTGATGGTCTGGGGACCATGTGGGATGTTGGGAATTGAACCCAGGTCAGCTGAGTGCAATACAAACACTTCATTTATTTTTTGGGTCACACCCGGTGATGCTCAGGGGTTCCTCCTGCCTCTGCACTCAGGAATCACTCCTGGCAGTTCTCAGGGGACCGCATGGGATGCTGGGGATGGAACCCGGGTTGGCTGAGAGCAAGGCAAGTGCCCTCCTTGCTGTGCTCTCGATCCGGCCCCAAGTCGAGCACTTTAACCCCTGTGTCGTCTCCTGCCGGCCTGTCTCCTCGATAGATAGACACAGTTTAAAGTCTAATCATTGTACTTTCTGTCTCCGCGCTGCAGCTGGAGTGGTTTCCATGTAATGGGCATCCCGCGCCCTTGCCCCGTGTCACCCCAGACCACCACTGCTGTCCCGTGCCTCCCTCTGTCCCCGCTCCCCTTCCTCTCCTTCGGGACTTTTCGTTTCTGTAACCCAGTGCTGGCCTTGACCCACCTTTGATGTCTCCCGGTCCCAGTAAGGAGTTCATTTCCTTTCAGACAGACAGACAGACAGACAGTTCATTTCCTTTCAGACAGACAGACAGACAGTTCATTTCCTTTCAGACAGACAGACAGTTCATTTCCTTTCAGACAGACAGACAGACAGTTCATTTCCTTTCAGACAGACAGACAGTTCATTTCCTTTCAGACAGACAGACAGTTCATTTCCTTTCAGACAGACAGACAGACAGTTCATTTCTTTTCAGACAGACAGACAGACAGTTCATTTCCTTTCAGACAGACAGACAGTTCATTTCCTTTCAGACAGACAGACAGACAGACACACACACACACACACACACACACAGAGGAATGGCCCCCAGCAGGGGGTGAGGGAGCAGTGAGCCAGCTTGGGTGTTGTGGGCCCGAGGCTGTTAGTCAGAGCTGAGCAGGTCATGGGCACTCTCTGGAGGCCAAGCCCGGGGTCTGAGCCTGCAGGTCTGTGGGGTCCCCACTGGTGTTTTCGGAAAACACCGCCGCACTGGGCATACTCGTGACCCGCCTTCGTCAGAAAAACGGGTGTGCGTCTGCTTGGCAAGGAAGGGCAAGCCCCTAGTGTTGGGGACCTGGGCTCTGGGCCCAGCTGGACTTGTCCACTGCAGGAGCTTCTGAGGCGGAGGAGTGTGGGCACCAGGTGATACGCAGCCCCTTTCCTCTGGTTGCAAGTTGGGTGGCTGTTCCCGGCAGGGGCAGGGGTACGCAGAGCCTCCCCAGGAGACTGAGGGCTGCTTAGTTCACCCCACCGGGGTGGCCCCCAGCCCAGGTCGCCCCCGTTTCCCCAGGAGGCCCTGTGTGAGCACCAGAAACCTGCCACATGGGACCTGCACAGAGTGGCCGGCACAGGGGCGGGGGTTGTGGAACACACGAGTGGGTTTGCAATGCGGCATCTCCCACAACGACTTACATTCATGTCCGTGGAAACAGTCATTTTTGCGGCGTGAGCACAGCCGGGAGGGCCCGGCCTGGCACACAGCTGACTCTGGTTCAGATCCCCGCGCCCCGCCAGGTGTGGGCCCTGAGCACTGCCGGCACGGCCTGAAAGAGAGATCTTTGTGTTTCAAGACGGAGTTGGGTCGCTGAGAAGCAGTGTCTGTAGAACCCGCTGGGACTCTTCCCCGGGGACTTGGGTGCTGGGCTGACGGACCCCAGTTCCCCCAGCCCCTTTCCTCCAGCTGTAAGTGGGTGGTGCCCCTGGGCTGCTCCCGGCCAGGGCAGGGGTACGCAGAGTCTCCCAGAAGACCGGGGGCTGCTCAGCTCACCCCACTGGGGCGGCCTCCAGCCCAGGTCATCCCCATTTTCCCACCTGGTGGCCACACTCCCCCGGACCCCACTTTGGGCCCGGAGCTAGGGAAGCTGGATCCTCACCAGGAGGAAAGTGAGGAAGGTCCCTGGAAGCCCTGACTGCCAGGTGAGGCCAGGCAGGATGTGAGGCTGGGACCACCCCACGGGGCTCCCGGACAAGTAGGGCCCCGCTTGCGTGGTCGTTCCCAGCCTCAGCTGCATGTGGCCCCCAGCAATGGCTCCCAGAGGAAGGGGTCCTGATGTGGGGTGGCCACCTGAGGCGTGGGGAGGCTGGGCAGGAGGACGAGCCCCCCCCACCCAGGCAGGAGGCCATTCGGGCGAGTGTTGGCTCCCGGGCTCCTTTCTGCCCAATGCATCCACACGGGGCATGTGGGGGGCTGCGGGGGCGGGGGCGGGGGCCGTGCTTTAGTAGGCCGGTCCGGGCTGGACTCAAACGTGGGCTGGTTCCTTTGGGTTGGGTATCCTGGGGCTAGCGCTGGCCTAGCCCCTGCAGCTGCTGAAGTGGACACTAGGTGGCGCCCAGACCACGGAGAAGCGGCCCCCAAACTGGGTCCAGCTGAGTGCAGTCCACTCCCCCGCTGGGCAGCCGAGACAGATCCTTTCCTTGGGGGCCACAGCCACCCGGGAAACGCTTTGGGGATTTTGATACAGACTTTGGGAGGGGCTGGAGCGATAGCACAGCGGGTAGGGCGTTTGCCTTGCACACAGCCGACCCGGGTTCGAGTCCCAGCATCCCAGATGGTCCCCTGAGCACCGCCAGGAGCAATTCCTGAGTGCATGAGCCAGGAGGAACCCCTGAGCATCGCCGGGTGTGACCCAAAAAGCAAAAAAAAAAAAGAGACTTTGGGGCCTCTAGAGAAGAAATACCTCATGTGGAGGGGTCAGAGCGGGAGGGCACTCACCTTGCAGGCAGTGAATTCAACGCCCGGGCCCCCCATAAGGTGCCCTGAGCGTCTCCAACTGAATGCCCCCCAATGAGGGGAGCTCGTGACGTCACTGAGGAGCACGGGTGAGCCCCCACCGTGCCCGTCTCCCCTTATTCTCACATCTGTGCTCCCTGTCCCGAGAGCTGAGGCCCCTCAGGCTGGGCAAACCTCGTCTTTCTCTGCTCGCCTTCTCTCGTTCCCGATCCCTTGGAGGACCTTGAATTATCTTTGGACAAGACATGATCTATTTTCCTTTTTTCAGGGGGTGGCAGTACACCCCGCGGTGCTCAGGGCTTTACTCCTGGCTCTCTGCACACAGGAGTCACTCTCGGCGGTGCTTGGGGAACCCCATGGGGTGCCTGAGATTGAACCTGGGTTGGCTGCATGCAAGACAAGCGCCCTCCCCGCTGGACTCTCTGGCCCCCTAATCTGTTCTCTAAACACGTCCCCTGACTCCACCCCGGGGCAGTTGCTGCTGGCTCTCACAGTGCCCTGAACGTCCACCCCTTGGCTGGTACCTCCTGCGAGGGTGAGCCTGGGAAAGTCCAGTGGAGACGGTGGACGGTGCTGTGGGTTTCGGGGGAGACAGGAACATCCCCTGGGCAGTGTCCCTGTGCAGGACACTAGCTGGCTCCGTCCTCCTGGCCAAGTCGCCCCAGGAAAGCCGTCTCGAATGTGCACCTGGGTATCCCAGCTCCTACTCAAGGCCTTAAAGTGCCCCCCTGGGTGGCAGAGATTGAGGACGAGGGCTTGCAACTGTCACGGCGATTCAGGAGCTAAGGAGTGCATGTGTGTGCATGGGTGTGTCTGCAGACACATGCATGTGTACGTGCATGTCCCTGTAAATGGTCTCGGTGGGGGCTGCGGGGTCTCAGGGTGGGCCTCCGGAATGGCTGTGCCTAGTTGGCATGGCCGTAGTTGGTCCTGGTTGGGGGGATCCCCGCCACTGCTGCCCCGTCCTCTCTCTGCCATCCGGTCCATTCGGCCACCCCTGCAGCGAGGTCCTAGGCAGCCGTGGCCAAGGCGGTTTCACTGGGTCACGTTTCCCAGCCCGTTTACGAGACCCCTCTCAGCCGTGCTCGCGGATTGCTCCTGCAGGTGTAAGCACTCTTTCCCGGGCTGACACTTCGTTTTTTTGTCCTTTGCTTGCTGGGGCTGAACTTAAACCCTGACCGCGGGCCGAGATGGTGCAGTTCCTAGAAGTGGCCGCGAGGGGGCGCCCCCGACACAGCGGCGCCGCGAGGTCCGGGAACCGCCACCCTGGAGGCGGCTCAGCCCAGCGACCCGGGGCCTGGTTGTTCCCTTGAAACCAAACTACGTTTGCGGACCCTGTAGCCCCACGCCAGGCCTCAGGGGCACGGGCGGCTCGGTCTGTTCCCAGTGTCTGTTCTCAGTGTCGCCCCCCCGGAGGCAGACCCCACACCAGCACCCTGCAAAGTGTGAGGCCGCTTCTCCCAGGCCTGGGCAAAAAGATCGAACATTGGCTCATCACCCGTTCCTGGTCCTTCCCTGGCTGGGCAGCCCCGGGAAAGCGGGCTCGGAGGCCCTGATGGCATCCCGAGACCAGAGAAGGTCTCCTGGCAAGGACCGGAGCTGCAGTGCAGCTGGGAGGGCGCTTGCCTTGCCCGCGGCCCACCTGGGTTGGATCCCTGGCCTCCCAGAGGGTCCCCTGAGCACTGCCAGGAGTAATTCCCGAGTGAGTGCAGAGCCAGGAGTTATGCGTGAGCAAATTCGGGTGTGGCCTGAAAACCAAAGGGGTGGAAAGTCTGTTGGCTGAGTGACACCCCTGCACGCCCCCACTCCCATCCTCTAAGGACTCTTCTCAGTCTTGCTGTCACAGCCACTGATTCACTCCGGGGACCCTCTGAGCCAAGCCACCTCCCAAAGCTGCTACTTCCAGACACTTGCACTCGCCTGCATTCTCGGGGGCGGGGGGTAGGAGTGAGTGCGAGGACTTTCAGGTGCTTTCCTTGCTCTGCGTGTGTGTGCGCGCGTGTGTGTGTGTGTGTGTGTGTGTGCGTGTGTGCATTTGTGTTTGTGTGTGTGTATGCGTGCGTGTGCATATATGTATGTGTATATGTGCGTGTGTGCACATACGTGTGTGTGTGTGTACACATAAGCCCGCTGGGGGCTCAGCCGAGTCACTGGTATCACAGCCTGTCCCTGTCTCGGAGCCCTGCCTGGTGACATCATCACCCAAGAGCAGCTGTGTTGCCTGCAGGTAGAAAGGGAAAGGGCAACGGAGCAGCGGAAGGAAGGCACGTTTGCGAACATGTGTGTTCCCGTGCACAGCTGCACAGAGGCACGGGTTCACACGGTGAGCCACACTCCCACCTCCTGCGAGGGCTAAGTATGGAATGGTAAAATGGTCTCTGGGCAGCCTGGCAGGGCGTCTACAGGCTGGAAACCTGCTTTGGGGCTTGGTGCAGGAGGACGCGGAGCCAAGGATCGACACAGACGGGTCATTTCCTCGCCTCTGCATCTGTGGGTTTCTGGGCCCACCTGGCGGTGCTCCGGAGCTGCTGTGGCTCTGGGCTCGGGGGTCGATCCTGGGGGCGATGTGGGACACTGGCGTGCCAGGGACAGCCCCACTCTGCTCCTCCCGGACCCCTGCCTTTCTTAAAGCATCTCCGCTCCCCACCCCACCACAGTTTAGCAAAGTCTTCTGCTGAGGACTGAAATGAAAGAGTTGTTTTTTGGGGGGCCAGGGAAGAACTGGAAGAGCAGCAGGCAGAAGCCAGGGTGACGCAGCGACAGTGACACTCTGTTTTTTTGAGGATAATAGAATCTTGGAGACAAACCGTTCTTGGGCGGTTCACAGAGACACAATCTTTGCAAAAGGAGCCGAGCCGGAGGAGTGGAGACAATTGTTTTATTCCTGAACTCTTTTGCATATATACAGAACGGGGAGGGGCAGGAGCCCGAGGACTTCCCCCCACCCCCCATTATGCGGCTGTGTGGGCGCTGCCGGCTGGCACGGGTAAGGAGGTTCCCCGTGACTTCTTCGGGAGATTACCCGACACCTGAGGTTCCAGAGACTGGGGGGACCGTGAGAATGAAAATGGCATCTGGGGCCATTCTAGCATTAAAAGGAGCTGCAGGCGTGAGCCAAGCTCCAGGGAGGGGGGGTACCGCTGCCCCCCTCCCCCCACCTCCCGCCTGCCCCCAGGGGGGACGTGCCTTTCCTTTACAGCAGCACTTCCATTTCCAGGCTGGACCGAACCCCTGGGAACTTGGCATTTTTTCCCAAACTCAACCCAGTTCCACCCTGAATGGCCACAGGGAGGGGGTCGGGGCGGCACTTGGGCACTTCTGGGGGTGGTTCTGGGCTCCACGTGCGGTTCCTAGTTCTGCCTGCAGGGGGCGCGCGAGAATCCGGTGCAAAACACATGTGTCTGTGTGTGAAGAGGCTGAGGCCACACGGGTGCGTGCACGTAAGTGTGTGTGTGTGTCCGCATGCTTAAGTCGGTAGGCACGGGAGCAGACGTGGATGTGTGCAGAAGCATGCGTGTGGGCGGATGCATGTACCCGGCTCTGTCTGGCTGTGTCCGTCCGTCTGTCCAGAAGGCACCAAGGAGCGGTGCCGGCTGAGCTGGAGCGAACCACTGGCCTCCTGGCTGGGCCTTGGTGTGGGTGGGCGGCGGCTGGGGAGGTGTGGGGGCCACGGAGGACAGAGGGTGGTCAGGCACCCCCTCCCTGACCTCCAGGGAACAGGTGGGGTTGCAAAGCCGCCGGGCGCAGGTTTCTTCCTCCTGGACCCCGGCAGGTGGGCCAGGAGGGAGGGGGCTGAGACCCAGTTCTGGGCCCACCTGTCCTCCCACATAGGGCTGTAGAGATCAGCGAGGCTCCTAGGGGGCGGCTGGGGAGGTCCCCCTGGCTTGGGGCCACTTCCTGACCCTCCCGCGGGGTTTCCAAGGCTCGTGGGGCTGTCAGTGTGGGTCGGTCATCCGTGACGGGGTCAGACTGCTGAGAATGGGCGTCACTGCATTTTTAATTGAGTGAGTGGGCCTATGGTCTGAGGTTTTCCCATCGGTCATCAGAGTCCACTGGCCAAAGGCTTTCAGGTTGGCCTCCCAGGAGCTCGGCTGGGATCGTGAACGGCACCCTGATATTCTCACAGATGGGTCCCCACGGGTTCCGTACCCACCAGGCCTCAAGTTGGGGAGGGGTGGAGCCCTCAGGGGAGGGTGCTCAGGCCGCTGCTATTGGGGTACCTGAAAGCCAGGCCGGGGACCCCCAAGCCGGGCAGGGAAGCAGCTGTGCGAAGGAGCGCGTCCTGGCAGGGGGGTGAGCCTGGGCTGGGGGACTCCGCTCCGCTCAGGGCCACTGGCCTGGGGAAGGCGGAGAGCTGGCTTTGGTCACTGGGCGGCACCGTGGACTCTGCAGGGGGTGAGCATGTTCTCGGAGCAGGGTGGGGTGGCAGCCCCTGGCCTACGCCTCCTTCTTCTCCCCTCTGTCGGGCAGCGTGCCGTAGGACGAGCCACTGGGCTCAGGCTGTATCTTGTCCAGCGTTTGTTTCCCTGCGAAGAAAACCCCAGAAAACCCCGCTGAGCCCCGCCAGAGCCCAGCCTGGTGCGCTGCTCCCTCTGTCTGGGCCTGCTGGGAGCAAAGGCTGAAAGAGCCGGCCCTCGAGAAGGGGGACGGACCCCCCACAGGGCCCCCCCCCGCCCCGTGGACCTGGACGGCTCGGTCCTGGGAGGGCCCCGCGCCCGCCACCCCCAAGCCCATGTCCCTCTGTCTTCCCCACATGGCCTCGCTCACAGAACACACGAGCTGGCCCTGCCAGAGACCCCTGAAGTTGTTCCCGACCTTCCATTTGGGGCTTTGTGAAAAGAAACAGTCAAAAATCCGAGCTGGGAGCCACCAAGACGCCCCATGGGCTGAGTCCCAACCTCGCCTGCACCTCTGCCGGTGGCCCCCAAGTAAAGCACGGCTCAGTGACAGGGAACACGCATGTGTGAGGCCCTGGGTCCAAGCCCGGGCACCACACACATGAACACGGAGAGACAGAGCAGACACGGGAGCTTTCTTCCGTCAGCACTGGAGTCACTTCTAACGCACACCCCTGGCCGCGGAGGCCGGTCCTGTGTGGGTGCTTGGGACTATGGAGACGGCGCCACTGGCAACAAAGCTGGGTTCCCGGGGCCCTACTTTCTGTGGCCCAGATGGGGGCCACGTTCCTGTGGCAGGATGAGGCTGGGTTCTCCGAGAACCGGGGTGGCGGCTGTAAGGAAACCGTCACCCCCATTTGGAAATGTGTGCTGGGGTCTCCCCAGATTTCGAGCAGTCAAGAAGGACTCCCGACTGGTCTCCCATCGCTGGGCGGCTTGTGTGGCCTTGGCTGGGCAGATGGTGCCTGCTGTGGCCCCGTGTGTGAGTGTGCGTGGGTGAGGGCAGGCTGCAGCCTGTGTCCTGGTGAGGGGGTCCATGTGGCTCTTGTCATCACAGGACCACTTCACTCTGGAACCTTCCATCCACGGGGGTCAGGGGTCTCTGCCGGACGCGATTCCCCCGACTTCTCCCCACCCTTTCCCAAGCAGGAAATCTGCAAAATGCCCCCAAACCCACACACCCACATCTCTCTCAGGCCTCCCCCTCGCCCCCCATGTGCTGGGTGCAAAGCTAACAAAACCTGGACCAACAATTACCCTGAAAATAGCACCTCTGGGCTCATCAGGAATCTCAGTTCTTCCTTCCTTCCTTCCTTCCTTCCTTCCTTCCTTCCTTCCTTCCTTCCTTCCTCTCTCTCTTTCTTTCCTTCCTTTCTCTTTCTCTCTCTCTTTCTCTCTCTCCTTCCTTCCTTCCTTCCTTCCTTCCTTCCTTCCTTCCTTCCTTCCTCTCTCTCTTTCCTTCCTTTCTCTTTCTCTCTCTCCCTTCCTTCCTTCCTTCCTTCCTTCCTCCCTCTTTCTTTCTTTCTTTCTTTCTTTCTCTCTCTTTCTTTCCTTCCTTCCTCTCTCCTCTTTCTTTCCTTCCTTTCTCTTTCTTTCTTTCTTTCTTTCTTTCTTTCTTTCTTTCTTTCTTTCTTTTTCTCCTTCCTTCCTTCCTTCCTTCCTTCCTTCCTTCCTTCCTTCCTTCCTCCCTCCTCTCTCTCTTTCCTTCCTTTCTCTTTCTCCTTCCTTCCTTCCTTCCATCCTTCCTTCCTTCCTTCCTTCCTCTCTCTTTTTCTTTCTTTCTTTTCCTTCCTTCCTTCCTTCCTTCCTTCCTTCCTTCCTTCCTCTTTCTTTCCTTCCCTTTCTTTCTTTCTTTCTTTCTTTCCTTCCTTTCTCTTTCTCCTTCCTTCCTTCCTTCCTTCCTTCCTCTCTCTCTTTTTCTTTCTTTCCTTTCCTTCCTTCCTTCCTTCCTTCCTTCCTTCCTTCCTTCCTCTCTCCTCTCTCTCTTTCTTTCCTTCCTTTCTCTTTCTTTCTTTCTTTCTTTCTTTCTTTCTTTCTTTTTCTTCCTTCCTTCCTTCCTTCCTTCCTTCCTTCCTCTCTCTTTCTTTTCTTTCTTTCCTTCCTTTCTCTTTCTTTCTTTCTTTCTTTCATTCTTTCTTTTCTTCCTTCCTCTCTCCTCTCTCTTTCTTTCCTTTCTTTCTCTCTTTCTCTCTCTTTCTTTCTTTCTTTCTTTCTTTTCTTTCCTTCCTTCCTTCCTCCCTCCCTCCCTCTCTCTTTCTTTCCCTCCCTCCCTTCCTTCCTTCCTTCCTTCCTTCCTTTCTCTTTCTTTCTTTCCTTCCTTCCTTCCTTCCTTCCTTTCTTTCTTTCTTTCTTTCTTTCTTTCTTTCTTTCTTTTCTTTCTTTCTCTCCTTCCTTCCTTCCTTCCTTCCTTCCTTCCTTCCTTCCTTCCTTCCTCCCTCCCTCCCTCCCTCCCTCCCTCCCTCCCTCTCTCTCTCTCTTTCTTTCTTTCTTTCTTTCTTTCTTTCTTTCTTTCTTTCTTTCAGGATGAAAGTCATAAATCTAATGCCCCGAAAAATGCCAACGATGGCATATTTCAAAAGGATAAGGCGTTTTAATGTTTGAAAATATAAGTGAAAGAATAAACCGTCCTTACCAGGAACATTTCCAAAATCAATGTAAGGCTGGGACAGATGTTCCTTTTCTCGGTTTCTGGTGACCAAAACCACGCCAAGGAATGACAGGAAACACCTAGAGGGCCGGGAGCGAGCGCTGAGACGCCGGATTAAGTGACCGAGTTCCACATGCTGCCTGGTGACATCAATCCCTTTGGGCGCGCGTGTCCTGTTTCTCATGGTCAGCTGCCTGAAACTTGTCGTGGCTGCCGTGGCCAAGAATAGCTGTCCCCAAAACCCAGGCATGGACCACTTCCACCCCCCCTCCAGCCCCTCACCATCTGGAGGCTGACTCTGGCTCCAAGGCCTCTGGGTAGAGCTGAGAGCTCATTTTCTGTCCAAGTGTGCCCAGACCCACTACAGACATGCAACACCAGCAAAAAATAATAGTAATAATAATAATAACAATAATAATCCCTGATTCTCTAATTTTCTAAGAAATCCAGTTGTCCTTGGCCAGAGGCGCGGGTATTGTTTCCAGACTCCAGAAGTCTCGGCCGCGCCCAGAGAGCTTACGAAATGGAATTTTCAAGATAGATGGTTTCCTGTGTGGACGAAGGGTCTGGGCTGGGGTTGGCTGTGCTGAGGGCCCGAGCGCAAGAGACAGCTAAGGGCCGGGGGCTGCCAGCTGGAGCCCAGGGAACCGCCTCCACATCAGGGATGTTCTGTCCAAGTTCTGCTTTGTGTTGGGAGGTGAGGCCGAAGGGACGCCTGCTCAGACTCAGGGGACCTGGGCACCCAGAGGCATGTTCTGAGACGGGACCCCCACCAGCTGCAGAGCCATGCTCTATCTGCTTGGCTTTGGTGGGGCTGGAAACCCCCTTTGTCTCAAAGCCCCTGACACACCTCCAGTACAAAGCCACCGCGCAAAGTCAAGGCCCAGGGCCCAGGGTGGGGATGAAGTTGAAAGGAATATTTCCTGTTTTGGAGTTGGCGGGGTGGGGGGGCACACCTAATGTTGCCCAAGGCTGCCCCTGGCTCTGTGCCCAGGACACAGTGTGTGAGGGGCCAGGGAGCAAGCCTGGGCCTCCTGCATGCACAGCCAGACGTTAGCGCCCATCTTGCCCTATTTCTGGTTTCTGAGCCTCAGGTGAAACGTCCCCAAATCCTCTATGAAAGGAACAGGATTTCACGGGCTGGAGAGGTGGCACAGGGCTAAGTCCTGGGCTTGCACGTGGTGGGCCCCGGTTCAATCTCCCTCCCACAGGGTCCCCTGAGCACTGCTCCAGCCTTCCACACCCCCAAACAAACCCCCAAAGATGGTTACTCACCCAAATAGGTATATGAATACAGTGAGGAAAGCAGCACCAAGGAACTCCTGATAAAATATGATCCCTGTAACAGATACAGAAAACCTGATTCACCAGGGGAAGAGTATTTGCAACAGCTGCATGCTGTTATTATTATTTTTTTCTTAATGACGAGAATGCTTTTATTTAGAAAATATGAGAGACACCCCCTTCCCCCATCCAGAGCGAAGAAGAAAGGGTGTCCTGGGGTGTGCGGGTGCCCATAGCAGGACATAGCCACAGTTTCCCTTCCCATGTAATTAGTTTCCAGGGGCCCAGGGATGTGGACGCCTGAGGACCGGGGTGTGTCCATTAGAGCCAGGCCCGCTGTAGGGCCTGGTCACCTCAGGGCACCACCCCTCCTGGTGGCATCAGCGTCAGCATAAAAAAAGTATTTTTATGCCACAGTCACGTGCCCCGTGATTCCAAAAGGAACCCAGTTATGCACACGCTAGGGTAGCATCATGACCCCGTCGACAGGGTCCACTTGACTTTTGCCAAGAGTGACTTCTCACTGGGCACCCACTGGACACACAGTCGGTCTGGCTCTAGTGTTATTTCCCAATTCTGGAGTCTTTAGCACAGCAGTCCCCCTGCGGCCGTCACTTCCGGGCAGTGCCCTCTGGTCTGGTTTATGTGCACACGCATCTATGTATAAATTCACCCACGCTGATAGCGCCCACCTGCCCACTCGGGCCCTGGGGCCACCCTCCACCCCGTGCGCTGCCCCTGAGTCATTCTCGTGGCCCCCTTTCTCTTCTTCTCACGACACCCTTCAGCTCCTTTCCTTCCCGGGGTCTCTGATTTCTCCTGGATCCAGAAACATTCCCAGAGCCGCTGATCCCCTAGACTCCACGGGCGCAGGGAAGGGGATGTGTGTTTCTGGTTGGCCTTCCGGCTGCCACTGTTCTCGGTGCTGCGGGCAAGGTGATGGGTCAAGAGGTGTCCCCCGAGCCTCCCCACCCGGAGGATAGGCTCTGTGGGGCACCCGCCCCGTATCACCGCACTCCGTTCCTCCTGCCCCCAACACGCCCTCTCCTCCCCACACTCTGCTCCCACTAGTTTGCTCTGTTTTGTTCACTCGCTCTCTGATCTGATGCTCTGAGTGAAACCTTAAGGCATCTGACTTAACTGTTTCACTCATTAGGCAGAGAACGTCCAGATCCACCCAGCACTGGGAATGAAAATACACATATATGTGGATGCTTATACATATATGTGTGTGTGTATGCACACAGGTATGTATAAATACACACACATATATAACCACTTCTCTTTTCTTGGCTTTTTGGGTCCCACCCGGTGATGCTCAGGGTGGGACTCCTGGCTCTGTCCTTAGGAATTACTCCTGGCAGTGCTTGGGGGACCATGTGGGATGCTGGGAATGGAACTCGGGTTGGCTGAGTGCAAGGCACGTGCCCTCCCCGCTGTGCTATTGCTCCGGCCCTTATAATCACACTTTAATGTGCCCATTGGTTCCTGGGCACTGACTTCATCTCTAGTTCTGTCTGCAATGGACTTGGGAGTGTCTCTCTCCTCTTCACATTTTTTTTTTTCTGTCTTCAGGTAAATGCCCAGAAGTGAGGCTGGCTCAGCCCTGCTGGTGATGGGGCACCATTTCCTGATCAGGCTGTTTTTCCATGACAGAAGCCTGGATGTACCCTCCTGCTGACAGGCATGTGGATTCCCTTGCTCACATCCTTCCTGGTACGTGTTTCCTGTCCTTCGGAGGAGGGGTACTTTCACAGGGGTGAGGTGATTGCTCACACCTGTTGCTGGCTGGGCTCACATTCCCCTGAGGTGAGAGGCAGGAAGCATCTTTCCACGTGTCTGTGGGGGCTCTGGGTGTCCTCTGGAGAGATGACTGTTCACATTCTTAGCGCCATTTGTTATTTTGGGTTGGGGGGCGACATCTGGTGGTGCTCTAGACTCACTCCTGACTATGCTTGGGGCCATCTGTGATGCTGGGGGTTGAACCTGGCTCCACCGTGTGCCAGACAAGCTCCTTGCCCCTCGTGCTCTCTCTCTCTCTGGTCCCTCTGTGCAGTTTTAAGTTGGAAGGTGTTTTGCTTTGTTGTTGTGGAGGTGTCTGAATTCTTGCTGACTAGGGTTCCCTCTGCACTCATTGAGCGTCTCTCTGCCCACTTGTCAGGCCAGCTGTCTCTGGGGACAGTCTTTGTGCAGAAGCTTTTAGATTCATCGCCCCATCTTGTACCTCTGTCATTGCTTCCCTGGCCATCAGAGGGATATGGACACAAAGACCACTAAGACTGACGGCAAGGAGCCGACCACTGATGTTCTCTTCAGTGTATCTGAGGCTTCGTTCAACTCTCAGCCTTATCTCTTCTTTGCGAGTCAAGCGAACAGCTTGTCAACTTGATCTTTCCAAAGAACCAGCTCTTGATTTTACTGATGATCTTTCAATGCCATTTTGATCTCTGTTTTATTCATTTCTGCTCTAATTTTTATTCCTCCCTTTTGCTGCGTTCTCTTTGTGTTCTTTCTTTTCTAGTGCCCTGGTGCGTAAGTTGAGGTGGTTTGAGCAATTTTTTTTGGGGGGGGGTGCTTCTTGGGTCGTACCTGGTAATGCTCAGGGGTTACTCTTGGCTCTGCACTCAGGAGGCAGTGCTTGGGGAATGAAATGGGATGCTGGGGATTGAACCCTGGTTGGCTGTGTGCAAGGCAAACACTCCCGCCCTTGGTTTGTGCATTTTTTTTGTTTGTTTCTTGAGGTGGCTAGAATCACTCATGCCTCTTTCATGCTGCTGCTACGGCACCCTATAGATTCTGGAAGGTCACAGCTTCAGTTCCATTCATCTCCAGGTATTTTAACATTTCTCCTTACTTCTTCATTGGTGTTGTAGTTGTTTAGAAGCACAATTTTTATCAATCACCATCAATCACAACCATCCTGTTATTCGTCGATTGCTTCGAGCAGGCCCCAGTAACGTCTCCTTCGTCCTAGCCCTTGGATTTTTTAAAAAAGTGCCATATTCAAGGCTCTTTCAGAGTTAGGAGAATGAGACCCTTCATTGTTACTGGTGTTTGGCATATTGGGTATGCCACAGAGAGTTTGCCAGACTCTGCCGTGTGGGCAGGTTACATTCAGTAGCCTGCCAGTTTGTCCAAAGTAGGAATGAGATAATAAGATGTCACGCGGCCGCAAATGCGGCCACGCGCTTCCGGAAGCAGGGTTTTCTAGTCTCTGAGTCTTGACCATTGATGGGATTACAGTCTCCTGTCCCCGTGCCTGTCTGTCCTCACCGGAACCCCTTGGAGGGGAGCAGGTTGAGTTTTCCTCCCCGTCCCGACCAGGGCTCCGGCAGCCGAAGACCTCCAGAACCAGCCGTGTAATCCCATCACAATTTTAAAAATTTTGTTATTGTTTGTTTTGGTCACACCCCACAGTGCTCAGGGATTACTCCCGGCTCTGCAATCAGAAATCATTCCTGGCAGTGCTTGGGGGACTGTATGGGGTGCTGGGGACTGGACCCAGTTGGCTGCGTGCAAGACAAATGCCCTACTCACCGCACTATCGCTCTGGCCCTGCACGGTTCCAATCTTGTTCCAATCTAGTAGTTCCATACTTACCATTTTTTCAACTTTCCTCTTCTGGCCGATCTCTAAGTTCATACCATTAGGATCAGAAAATATGCTCAGCATGAATTCAGCCTTTCTGCATTACTGGGACTTGTTTTGTGTCCCAACATATGGTCCTATGTCCAGGTCTAATGAATATTTGTCCAGTGAATGAACACCACTGAGCATTCTTCCATGTCAATACACATGTTCTTGTAATCATCTTAATACTTTCATGCTATTACAGGCTGTTGCACATGATACTCATTTCTATAAGGGAATTTAAAGTTGTTTACGTATATATTTTTGATTTCGTAAAGTAGCAATAAACTCTGTACATATCCTGTATTTTAGGATTTTTGTTTTTACTACAAGTGGAATTTAGGTTTTAGAGTAGAAACATTTTTCTCCTTAAATAAATTAGAGTGAAATACACACAACATTACAATTTGCCATCTTAACCGTTTTTAAGTTTACAGTTCAGTCATGTTTACCGATCTCCAGAACTTGCTAAAGCGAAACTCTATACTCATTAGACAACAATGCCAGTTCCTCCACCCCCAGTTCCTGGCAATCATCGTTTACTTTCCATTTTCTATTAGTTTGGCTCTCCGAGATGCCTCGTGTAAGTGGAACCATACAGTATTTGTTTTTGCGACTGGCTTATTTCATTTTTCATCATGCTCTCAGAGTTTATGCGTGCTGCTGCTCGCCTCAGAGCCTCCTTCCTTTCCTCAGGCTCAGGGTCTGAGCAGACCACCGCTCCTCATCCGCTCACCACGCCACAGAGACCCAAGGTGGACACTGTCTGTCCAGGTCCTTCCAGATGTGTTCCCAGGAGCGAGACTGCTGGAGCACCTGGGAGTTCAACCTTGGCGTGTTGGAGGACCCACTGCCAGGTTTCCGGGAGGGCTGTTCTGTGTCATGCCACCGGCAGCAGGGCATAACAGGGCTCCTGGTTTTCTCACATCCTCACCCCCACCTACACTTCCTTCCATCCCTCATCCCCAACCTACTTCCTTCTGCCCTCATCCCCACCCCCACTTCCTTCCGGCCCTTACTCCCATCCATACTTCCTTCCAGCCCTCAACCCCACCCCACTTCCTTCCGGCCCTCACCCCCACCTACACTTCCTTCCGGGTCTCATCCCCACCCACACTTCCTTCTGGCCCTCACCTCCACCCACACTTCCTTCCAGCCCTCACCCCCTTTCCTATTTTGTCTGGTTGTGAGAGGGCGTTTCCTGGTCCTGCAGTGCTCCCCTCCCCACCTCCCCGCATGGTTTGTGCCGGCGAACTTCCTTTCAGGTGTCTGTCTGGCCATGTACAGGTCTTCTTTGAAGAAAAGTCTTTGCAAGTCTCCCCAACCCCACAGTGGGTAGGGCGTTTGCCTTGCACACAGCCAACATGGCCGACCCGAGTTTGATTCCTCCGCCCCTCTCGGAGAGCCCGGCAAGCTACCGAGAGTATTCGATATGCCAGACACAGTAACAACAAAGTCTCCAATGGAGACGTTACTGGGCCCGCTCGAGCAAAATCACACCCCAGGGGGCACAGTGGCTAGTCCTGGATTGTTTGCTCAGAGCTTACCCCTGGAAGTCTTCCAGGGACCGTGAGGTGCTGGAGTCTGAACCCCAGCCTCCTGCATGCAAAGCAGGTGCTCTGTATTGCTTAGGGGGCATCTCTCTGACCCCCAAAACATAGTTATTTATTTATTTTTCTTGTTGTGTGGCCAGAAGTGCTCAGGTGCTATTCCTGTCGAGCCTCATTTTCACAGTTGTCATCAGGTTGTGTTTCTGGTTGTTGAAAAGCAGATCAAAGAGTGGAAATATCCATAGTGGTATTTTTTTTTTTTTGGTGAGAGGCCTCACTTAGCAGTTCTTATCAGATCATATAGGGTGCTGGGGATGGGACTGGGGTTGCCAGTGTGCAAAGCAAGAAGAGTGTCTGTCTGTCTGTCTGTCGTCTGTCTGTCGTCTGTCTGTTTTCAGGCCACCTTGGTTGTGGTCAGGGCTTACTCTGAGCTTAGGAATCACTCCCAGTGGGGTTCAGGACTCTATGGGGTGCTACAGATTCAAGCCAGGTGGCAGCACATCAGGCAAGTGCCTACCCACTGTACTATCTCTCCAGCCCCCTCAGAGTAGAACTTTTGTTTGGGGGCCAAACCTGATGGTGCTCAGGGCTTGCTCCTGGTTCTGTGCTCAGGGATCACTCCTGGTGGTGCTCAGGGGACCACACAGGGTGTCAGAGGTTGAATCTGGGTCAGGCACATAGAAGGCAAACACCCTACCCACTGAACTATCTCTCTGGCCCCAGGAATAGAAATATTTCCAAGGCTCTGGATAGAATTATGAAACTTGGTTCTAGGACAAGTGGTACGGTGAGACCCAACTCCATGAGTCCCTGCAAAAGTGGAGCCTAGTTAACACTTTTTTTTTAGTAAAAAGAACATCACCCAAACTCCCGACTCATCTAGCAGGCAAACACGGTATCTCACCAATGGGAAGTGCTTCTCTCTCATGGAGAAAAGAGGAGAAGCGAGGCAAAGGCTCTGCCTTTCCTCCCCTGAGCCCTGCTGCCTCCCTGTCCTCACTCCCAGGGCTGCTGTGCCTGACGCAGCGACTCAGTGTGTGGGCACCAGGTCCCAGGTGGTATGTGGGCACCGAGTCCCATTTTCTCCTCCCAGCCCTTTCTTCAGGGAGCTGGTTCATGCATGATTTCAGCTGGCTGATAAGAACAAGCAGGCTGGGGCTGGAGGGAGAGTACAGCAGGTAGGGGCTGGCCTCCCACTGGCTGACCCAAGTTCAGTCCCCCCGTAGCACTTCCTAGGGACCCCCCCCCCAGCCCTTAGCACTAAAGCTAGGAGTAAGTCCTGAGCACGGCTGGGTGTCACTCAAAAACAAACACCCAACACAACAGACCTACCAGGTTGATGTATGTCCTAAAACTGGGATTTTGTTTCTTTTTGATTATTTGACAATAATCGCAAGGCACACAAGTGTGCAATATTTTCTAGCTTTCTTTTTTGTCAAAGAATATCAATGCTGGGGCTGCAGTGATAGTACAGCGGGTAGGGTATTTGCCTTGCATGTGGCTGGCCTGGGTTCAATTCTCAGCATCCCTTAGGGTCCCCTGAGCACTGCCAGGAGTAATTCCTGAGTGCAAAGCCAATGCATCACCAGGTGTGACCCAAAAAGCAAAAAAAAAAAAAAAATTAAATAAATAAAAAAATAAAACAACCCCCCCCAAATTAATGCTAAATATATAGAAATTACATATGCTTTAAAAAATTGCCTACTGACAATTTGTTTTCAGAAAAATGAGAGTTGTACAGTCAGCAAGGCGATATAACCCTCAACTCCACCAACTGCATGGGAAGCAAATTCCAAGATAAGAAAAGGGCAGAGGCCGGAGCGATAACACAGCAGGTAGGGGGTTTGTCTTGCGTGCCGCTGACCCAGGTGCAAGCCCCCAGACTCCATAAGGTCCCCCAAAGCACTGCCAGGAGTAATTCCTGAGTGTAGAGCTAGGAGGAACCCCTGAGCATCACTGAATGTGACCCGAAAAGCAAAAAAAAAAAAATAATAATGGCAATGTCTCAAGCCAGCTGGTGACCCAGGGCAGGCCAGTGCCAAATTCAGAAAGGACGGGCACACTGAGTCAGCTGTAGCTGGGTTTGGACCAAGTTTCTAAACATGTTCTTTAAAAAAAAAACAACCCAAACATTGTTATTGTCTGCCGTATTTGTTAAGAAGTCCACAGAAATGGAAAGACCTGCAATAGCAGACAAGCAAAGGCCAGGACAGAAATGGCCAGCAGAGAAATGGCCCAATGCCACTAATCTCTAAAAGAACATGATACCCACAGAATCTTCCCTGGGAGATGGATTTGGGCTGAGAACTCTGGGGCCTTCTCAGAATGCAGTCAGGCAGATGCCCCTTCCTGCCTGGACACCCGGCAGCTCATGGCCACACTGATACCCTCTGACATAGAACAGCCCAGCTCCACAGCTGAATCTCATCAAGTTACCAAGCCACCAAATCGTTCCAGCTCTATAACTCCTGGACTGTGTGACCACATCTGTGGCCACACGACACCTCCAAGTTCCACAGAGCTGCCAACCCAGGATGCTCACAGCAAACCTGAGGGAAAGTTGCACTGATGCCCTCCCGGCTCTGTGAGCCTCAACAACTACACAGGAGGCGCCACGAGCACCACCAGCACAGCAGATCCTCAGACAGCGACTTTAGGAACATCCCTGTGAAATAGAGCAGTTATCACACTCTGGGGTGGCAAGTGAGGCAGGCGCCACAGTGAACTGGAAGACCTCTCTCGGCTAAGGCGCCCACACGAGCACCTAGGTGAGAAGGAGCCTCCTGCAGTTTCAGAAGTGCGTCGGAAATAGAACACCAACAAAGCACCTGTGCCAACGCGGGGTCCCGTCCCCACAGGTAGAGCGGCAGCAGGGGTGGGGGGAGGCGTAATTTTCCTTTTCATAGTGCTCTGGACTTGTATCTCAGCCTCCGTTACCTAATTCTTACGAGGGAAGCCTGGCTATCCCAACCACATGAGGTCAATAGTCCACTGGCCTATTCCAAGAAATAGTGCAACGGACAGCCAATAAAATACAGGAAGAAATGCGAACAGAAATGAGAAAGCTCCAAACAGAAGTGTCGCTCATAAAATATTTGGTGGATGAGATGAAAAACTCAGTGGGTGCCCTCAACAGTAGAATGACGGGGCTGGAGCGATAGCACAGCGGGTAGGGCATTTGCCTTGCACGCAGCCAACATGGCCGACACAGGTTCAATTCCCAGCATCCCATATGGTCCCCCGAGCACTGCCAGGAGCAATTCCTGAGTGCATGAGCCAGGAGTAACCCCTGAGCATCGCCGGGTGTGACCCAAAAAGCAAAAAACAAACAAACAAACAAACAAAAAAAACCAACAACAGTAGAATGACAACAGCCAAAGACAGAATCAGTGAGCTTGGAGATGAGCTGCAGAAAGCATACAGGCCATCCTTGTATGATGATCACAGACTGACTCTTATTGATCTCAATTTTGATAATTCCGTCTTTCCTTTGTGTTGTAACAAACAGTGCGCAGTCAATTTATTTGTGCCCATCTGGGGTGGTGGGTGGAAACGAGGGACATTGGTGGAGGGAAGGCACATTGGTGGTGGGTTTGGTGTTGGAACATTGGATGCTTGAAACAACTGTAGTATGGGAAGCTTGGTAAATCATGATATGATAATAAGAAAAGTTTCTTAAATGAACAGAAAAAAAGAACAGAAGAGTTGGTAATTTTTGTTCTCAAGTGTCCGGCTTTCCCTGGAGCACCGAATTGCTTTGGGGGTCATCCTGTTATCCCCTGAGATGACATGAGTAGGCACTGAACTCCTCGTGAGCTGGGAGGCAGAGCTGATGAAACTGGGGGGCGGGGGTTAGTTCCAGAGACCGGGCCCCTTTGACTGCTGGGGACTGTGGCCTGGGAGGGTGCTGGATTGATGGGAAAAGTGTCTCTCAGCTCCAACGCAGCAAAGACTGACAAGTCGGGGGCGGGGGGCAGTAACCAGAATGGCCCCAAGCCGGCGGAGACTGTCCCTGGAGGCTGGCAGGTCAAGGGAACACTCATCCAAAGCAGAGGACTCAGCCCAGAGGCTGCCAGGGAGGGCATTCAGACACCTGGAGGAGCCAGCTCACCTGCCGTGATGGCGCTGGTGGTGAAGAAGATGTGATTGGCGGGCACCACGGCGGCTGTGCTGTACAGCTTGGTGGCCTGGTCCAGAAACCTAGGGCAGAGAACAGACACTGGAGCCAGGGCTTTGAGGGGCTGAGGGGAGGTGGGAAGTGAAGAGTCCCTTCAAGAAACAAGCATGTTCCTTCCCCAACTAGGAAGGGGAAGGAGGCGCAGGCAAAGGGCACTTCCAATCAGCAGTCAGAGCTCATCTGCATCTGATGGATGAGATCAGATGTCAGGTTTTACGGTCTGTTTAAAGCAACAGCAGGAACAATGAGAAGCAATTAATCATGGTCCCAGGACGCCGGAGTTTGGGTTGGCTCTGATTCAAGCTGCTGGACCAGTATCACAGCGGGGCTGATGCGTTAGGACAGACCCTCGAGTCTGCTAAGTATCAGAGTCGTGGCGGGGAGGGGTTGGCGAATGGTGCCGCTATCCCCTGACGTGCCACGTGCCAAGAGAGAGGATGGGGAAGCAGAGGAATGTGCCCGGCCGCCAGCTGCTGCACACATGTGGGCTCCCGCCTCACACTCCAGCCCCTGACAGCACCAGGATCCAGTTCGCCACAGCTGCATGGAGCGCCCGCCCGTGCAGAGCAGAGCGTCAGCATCATGGGACACTTCTATTAGTTTTTATTATTTTTTTTAAAAAATGTGATTTATTGGTTTATATTTTTATTTAAAAATATTTTTGGGGGGGCCACATTCAGTGAGGCTTAGGGATCACTCCTGGCTCTGCACTCAGGCATTACTCCTCCTGGTGGTGCCCTGGGGGACCATATGGGATGCTGGGGATCAAACCCAGGTTGACCACGTGCAAGGCAAACGCCCTCCTTACTGTACTATCACTCCAATCCCACAGGTTTAAATGTGGTTTAAAACACAGGGTGCTTTTAAAAAGCACAGACGCTACAATCCTATTCTTCTGCTACAGAAAAGCAGAGTTTTGGGGGGTGCCTGTGATGTCCAGGCTCGCTAGCACATGTAGGAACATACGTTTGCCTGCACACACACGTATCTTTACACACATGCGTGTGCATGCCCACATACCCCCCAGCCCCCCGTGAATGCAGGACACACGTGCACAGACACGTATGCACACGTAGGAACAAGCCAACCTCCTACGATGGTCTGACTGGGCAGCCGGGGCTGGAGGGAGGCGCTTCCGGCACTGCCTGGGGCGAGGGAAGCCGCGTCTCTTCACGCCCATCTGCCTCTCCCATCCCCACAGCCGGGTCTAGCCACCCAGTGTCCGAAGAGGGGCAGTAGTGCAGGGAACTGGGAGGTCATGGTGAGAGGGGACAAAGGAGGTGGAGTTAGAGCTGAGGGAACGCTCAGGCCTTTTTAGAAAAAAATTGGTTCTGGAGCCACACGCAGTGATGCTCAGGGGTTACTCCTGGCACTTCGCTCAGGTGGTGCTCGGGGGACCATGTGGGACGCCTGGACGCGAGCCCCGGTTGGCCGTGTGCAAGGCAACTGCCTTCCCTGTTGTCCTATAGCTCTAACGACATGGGACCTTCCCGTCTTGGGAGGAAATGACACCGTGAGGAGAAGGCTGGGCCTCCCTGCAGCTCTCATCGCCCAGGGCGGGGCCGCCCTCAGAACAATCAGACTGTGACCGGCAGGAAGCTCCTTCTTCCTGGGGTGCGGCTCTGACTTCCCATCTGGGGTGTGACTTTGGCCTGGCATTCGGGGATACACAGGAAACTTGTGGTTGGCTGGAGGACTTCGAAGGCCAGAGGAAGGTGAGGGTGGGGGTAGCAGTGAGGTGGGGGAAGAGAAAAACTGAGCTGTAAGATGTTCCAGGTCGTCACTGTTAAGCACCCCAGAAACACGAAATAATCCTTTCCCCCGCCCTCCTGGAGTCAAAGGGAATTCTGGCCCAAGGTACAATGTTCTGGGGGAGCATGGCCCTCCCAGCCAAACGTCTGGCTTGGTCCATCTTTGAGGAACTGTGGAGCACGAGCTCAGACACCCAGGTGAGGGGCTCATGGGTTTCCTGGGTGGAGGGGGAGGCCCAGCCCCTCCGACTGATTGCTAAGGACACCCTGTGTCCTAGGGACATTAATGACAAGCAGAGGAACATCAGGGAAGGATCAAGGTGCGGAGCTGGAGCACGGCCGCACTTCCTGGCTCAGAAGTCGGGCAGTGTGGTCTTGCAGTGGGGTTCAGAGGGCAGAGCTGGCCAGGCTGGGACCCCCTGCACCCTTCTGAGGAGTAACCAGAGCCCCCCAGCTGCATGAGAGCGCAGGGGAGCAGCAAAGCCCGGAGCTGGGAGACAAAAAGGCCCAGGAGGCCCAGAAGCTGACTTACTGGACTTGGAAGACACACGAGGAGATCATGATGATCAGCATGATGTAGAAGATGGGATACGTCAGCTGCATCTTCCCCATGACGGAAACGGTGACCATGCCCGAGACAGCTCGAGCGGAAATCACCGTCAGAGAGGCTGAAAAAAGGAAGACGAAAATGCAAAGATATGACACCAAGCACATATTCAAGAGGGGAGTCACAGACAAATATCACAGGGTGCAGGGAGGCGTGTGGGAGGGGCAGTGCTCTTTTAGGTCCAAGCTCCTGAAATCCCAGGGTGTGCCCAACCTCGCCGCAGCAGCCTGCTCTCTCCCCAGCATGGCCGTGGACAGGCGGCCAACAGGTGATGACCAGTGGGCAGGAAAAGAGGGAGCCGAAGAGGGAGGTGAGGACAGCTGGACTGGCCAAGTCCATCTTCAACCTGGTCCAGAGACCAAGGCCGGCCTGTTGGTGCTGGAAGGTTGAAACTCATTGGTCTTGGTGGTCATTGCTGGTCTGGGGACTGGGGTGCAGGACAGATGCAGGTGTGGGAAGGCTGAGGAACACCATTCACGTGACAAGGTAGATGACCAGTTGACTCCACTGAAAGAGGAGATGGGCAGGGGGCCCCCCATGGGAACTTCCTGGGTTGTTCCAAGTCCCCACAAGCTCTTTGGCAAGCGAACACCTTGGAGCCGAGTCACAAGACATTTTGGGGGAAGGGGCAGGAGAGTCCAGGGGGTAAGGCACGTGCCTCGCACATGGCTGTCAACCCCTGGCACCAAATATGCCCAGGACTTACTCCTGGCAGGGCTCAGGGAACCAAAAGGGATGCTGGGATTGAACCTAGGTCTTCTGCATGCAAGGCCTTACCTGCTGTACTATCGCTTCAGGTAGTTTTTGAACAAAGACGCTAATGGTAGGTGGGAGGGTGGTGGTGGTGGGGGCTGGACTTCACTTCTCTGCATCTAGCCTAACTCTCAGACTGACATAGCCACACACCCGTTTTCTGTGCTTAGAAAGGCACTTACCCTATGCCAGAGCAATAGCACAGTAGGTTAAGACCTGCTTTGCATGCGGCCAACCCAAGCATCATCCCTGGCACCACATGTACCGTCCCCTGAGCCCCGCCAAGAGTGATCCCTAAGTGCAGAGCCAGGGGTCAGCCCTGAGCACCTCCGAAGGTGGTCCCCAAACAGCGAAAGAGGAGTGACTCCAGAGGGGAACGGTCCCTGGGCTCCAGGTCAGAGAGAAGACACAGCTGCTCTCCTCGGGAAGAGGGAAGCATCTTTCTGAAAAGGTGTGTTCCGTGGGAAAGGGGCAGTGTTCTTTGAGATCCAAGCTCCTAAAATCCCAGAGTGTGTAATTCCTTGACTTAGCTGAAGCTCAGAAAAAGGCAAAGCAGGATCTCTTGTTAAAAGTCAAATAATTACATGCCAGAGGCAATGTGAAGAAGAAATTGGGGCGAGCTAGCCTTGCTCCGTCTGATGATCATGTCCCCCAGTCTTATTCCTTTTAGCTTTTGAAAAGGGTTATCAAATAGCTGGGAAAACAGAGGCTGAGCAGAAAAAGACTGCTGTCGTTTCCTTCATTCCTTCTCAGCTGCGAAGAACTTTTCCTTAAGAGAGTTTGGAGAAGACTTCCAAGTTGGCCTTTTTGCTTGTTTGTTGTTTTGAGGTCACAACTGGCAATGCTCGGGGGTCCTGGCTCTGCACTCAGAAATTACTCCTGGCTGGCGGTGCTCAGGGGACCATCGGGTATGCTGAGTATCGAACCCAGGCTGACTGCTTGCAAGGCAAGGGCCCTCCTCGCTGTCCTGTCTCCGGCCCCTGCTTCTTCTGAGGCAGTGGGGAGATGAGAGGTTAGCCTCTCTCCATCTCCGGGAGTGTGAAGGTCCCAAGAGGCAGCAAGGTCCTGTGCCCTATCTATGAGTCACGTGTCCTTTCCTTCCTGTTTGCAAGCTCAACTGCGGGGGGAACCAGCATGTGCCTCTGACCTTGTGGTCTAGGGCCTGTCTTCCCAAAGGAACCATTAACTAGGAGCTGAACAAACGGTTCCATGAGCCTCCAAACCTCAGGACTGCAAGTACCTTAAGGGTCACCTAGTTAACCCCCATGTGACGGTCAGTTATCCTGAGAAATGAAATGAAAGCCAAACTGGGATTCTTCATCACACAGCTGAACAAACTCCGGTTCCTACAGCTCCTCTGTGCATGTAGTCACAGGCAGAAGAATCCCATGGACTGTAACTGCACGAGTTTTTTAATGCAGCGAGGGGCGGGAAGGGGAGTGAGAGGGGACTGAGCACAAAGCTGAGGGGCAGGATCATTGGATCTTCAGGATCTGCAGAAAGAGAAAGTACTTGTGTGTGCACAAGGAAGGAAAAAAAAACGGGCAGAAAACAGCACCGGGGAACCTCTGGGTCATGAGCAACCCTTCATCGAACATTTTGTTTGGGGTGTTTGGTTCATACCTGGCACTGTTTGGAGGCAACTCTAGGGTATATTCTCAGGGGTCTCTGCTGCTCGTGTTTGGGAGACCAGGGGATACTGGGGATTGAACTGGGGGTGACTGTGTACAAGAAAGCACCTTAACCTCTGTCCTATCTCTCCAGTCCATCATTAAAAAAAAAAAAACCCATGAAAGTATACAAGGTCACGATCACGATCATGACCATCCTGTTATTCGTCGATTGCTTCGAGCAGGCCCCAGTAACGTCTCCTTCGTCCTAGCCCTGAGATTTTTAAAAAAGTGCCATAGTCAAGGCTCTTTCAGAGTTAGGAGAATGAGACCCATCTTTGTTCTGGTATTTGGCATATTGGGTACGCCACGGGGAGTTTGACAGACTCTGCCGTGTGGGCAGGTTACATTCGGTAGCCTGCCAGTTTGTCCAAAGTAGGAATGAGATAATAAGATGTTGCACGGCCGCAAATTCTGCCTCGCGGTTCCGGGAGCTGGGTTTTCTAGTCTCTGAGTCTTGGCCGTTGATGGGGTTACATGGCGCCAGGGGGCCAGTTGGTGGGTGTGACCCTTGCCTACTGGAATTTGGAGGATCTGGGTGGAGGATGCTCAGCCCCGATCCGAGCAGGCTTGGAGATCTCAGCCCCGGGACCCGCATGCCTTTGTTCCTCTGCCAGTACCTTTATGTGTGCGGAGAGTGGTCTCAGCATGGGGGTGGCTGGTTCTGGAGGTCTTCGGCTGCCGGGGCGGGGAAGGAAACTCAACCCGCTCCCCTCCAAGGGGCCCCGGCGAGGACGGCCAGGTGTGGGGGCAGGAGACTCAAGGTCATTCATCAAAAAATGTGTAAAAGGCAGAATAGCCTAGAAATAAAAATGAAAAGCACCTGGACTCTAGCAGTGCCCCCTCCCTTCAATCATGTTTAACATTTGGGAAAATTCTTTTTGGATATCTCTAATATGAAGAGATCACTACATAAAAAAATAGTTATTCTTTTGAGAATCTGTTTTCCATGGCCCTGATGTGTTTCAATGCACAAAATATTCTCTGAAAGCAGGATTATGCTGGTTATCAAGTATGCCTTTGCACGAAAGCATGATTCCAGCAATTGTCTATTCTTGGCTAGATTGTATCCTTTTTTCTATTAAAACTGAGGTTGTGATGAATACCTTTGAACACAAATCTTCGGATATAATGAGGCTCTGGAGGATTTTGCATCAATATTCAGTCCTGGAATTAAAATCAAGGCTGTTCTTAGTGTTCTTTATTTGCGCTGTCTTTTCCAGACTTTGGATCAGTATTTACACTGATTATGTCTTGAAAAAAAGAAAGTGAAAGCTTTCTTCTTGTGTCTTCATAGTTTGAGCAACATGAAAATAATTCATCCCTTTTTAGGCAATTCCTCAATTTCTTCCATAGTTAGCTTTTGCAAGTAGCTACTCCAATGTTCCTATTTTTGGGATGTATATGTATCGTTTCTAATTTAAGTTACTGGAGGTTTTTCTTCTGAGGATCTAATTTGCCCATTTCCTTTCAAGCACTGATTCCGGTGTTTATTTATCTGCTCGTGGCTGTCTTGCCGCCTCCTCCCTTTCTCCTTCTCGTCATTAACTGTTCTTTCTCGTTGGCAACTGCATCACTCGTGTTTGTCTTTCTCACATCTCTCGTCGAGCGCTTGACTGACTTACCTTCCAAGCGACCCATTTCCATCAGAATGCAGCATCGCGCAGAAGTCAGTGCTGGGCATTTTCTGAACAGTTTTTGAAAAGTAAAAGCGGCAACGTCGTCTGGGTTTCTGCCCTTCCCCCCAGCTGTGGTTTGGGAGCTGAGGGAAAGATTCCAGGTGGTGAGAGTCTCACTGGCTTCTATTTTCGTGATGACTTTCCATCTTGGTTTCACTGTGATGTGAAGCGTGCCATCTGCACTGTTTGGGCTGCCTGGGCTCTCTCTCAGGGCTGCTGTGGGACCAGTGACACTGTCAGCCTCTGTCACTGCTACACGGGCTCTTGCATGAAGGGATGTTCTGCTGTCAGGGTTCACAGTTGCACCCGAGCATGGCTAGATCCATACTGAGGCTCCTGGCCCTGATTCTCCACAGTTTTTAATCTGCCATGAGTTGTCTCTGCTCCCCTTACACTTTGAGAGCCTGGTGTTCAGTATTTCTCACAAGTGAGGTGCTCCTGAGGCTGGAGTGATAGCACAGCAGGTAGGACATTTGCCTTGCACGTGGCCGACCTGGGTTCGATTCCCGGCATCCCATATGATCCCCTGAGCACCGCCAGGAGTAATTCCTGACTGCAGAGCCAGGAGTAACCCCTGTGCATCACTGGGTGTGGCCCAAAAAGAAAACAAAAGTGGTGCTCCTGGGCTGCCTTTGTGCTTTTTAATCTGGGCAGAAATAGATGTGGTGCCTGGGATTCTCTTTCTCGATGGTGTGTGTGTGAGTGAGGTGGGAGGAGCGTGGGTGCATGAAGGCTACGGGACGGACACTAGTCAGCTCCCACAGAGGAGGGTGAGCTGTGGGGTTGGACGCAGAAAAGCTCCCTCAGGGGCTGTCCCTAGGTCCAAGGACAGGCCAGGGGCACAACCAGCCACATTCCCAAAAGGGCAGGGATGGGCACTGCAGAGAGTTTGGAAGCGGAGTTCTGTTTTTCATTTCTCTTCTTTGGCCATGCCCAAGGATAACTCCTGGAGGTGCCTGGGGGACCCTATGCAGTGCCAGGGCTCCAAATGGCCGCATGCAAGGCAAGCATCTCAACCCCTATACTTGTCAACCCTTACGCCCCTAGACTTTTATTATTTATTTTGGGGAGTACACCAGGGGTTATTTTACTTCTCATTTATTTTTGGGAGAGGCATATCCAGGGCTTATTCCTGACTCTGCACTTGGGGGATCACTCCTGGCAGGCTCAGGGGACCATATCGGGACTGGGGATCGAACCCAAGTTGGCTGTGTTCAGGGCAAACACCCTCCCTCTGTACTATCTCTCTGACCCCTCCAAAGGCAATTTTTAAATAAAAAAAATTACAAAGGGAATTTCCCACATGATGCATGAGCTTTTCTAGTCAGAGAGGAGGTGCAAGGTGGGTAGGGACGGGGGACAGAGGAAAATGTCTGATGGGAAAGTGCTATCAGCACCAGATCTTAAAGTGGAGAAGCTACCTTTGGGGGTGGGAGTGCATGGCGGGGGTGGGGGGTGACAATGGAATGGATGAAAGTGTTAATGAATGGATACAGGAAAGCTGGTCTCAGGAGAGATGCCTCACTGAGCTGCTCCAGGCAGGCTGGTCGCTAGGCTGAGACTTCTGGAAGCTTTTTGGGATGGGGTGGGTTGAATCCCCACACCCTGCCGGAAGGCCTGCCCACACCTGACTTCCTCCAGCAGGTAAACAGTCCAGCCCCACGGCCAATCCCAGAGTATTTTAGCAGCTGCTGAACCATCCCCGGAGCATGTTTCATGGCTCCCGGAGCCTGTGGCCACATATGCTGTCATCTTGGAATGTTCCAGTACTGACAGCCTAGTAGGAGCATGGGAAGTTAGGTGGGAGAATTGTGTAGAAGCCAACTAAGCTAGTGAGTGAAAACAATAACACAGAAGGCTCAACTAGCATCCAACAGCTCAATAAATCCTAGGACAATGATTTTGGTGACACCACTATGAGTTTTATGTTGTGATCACTGTCCTCCCGTTCATTGATTTGCTCGAGCGGGCCCAGTAACATCTCCATTGGAGACTTTTGTTGTTACTGTGTTTGGCATATTGAATACGTCACGGGGAGCTTGCCAGGCTCTGCCGTGCGGGCGAGATATTCTCGGTAGCTTGCTAGGCTCTCCGAGAGGGGCAGAAGAATCGAACTCGGGTTGGCCATGTTGGCTGCATGCAAGGCAAAGGCCCTACCGCTGTGCTATCGCTCCAGCCCATTTGCAATAATAAAGTATAATTATTATATTATTTATAATTTTATATATTTACATTTAATTTGTTGTTACTGTGTTTGGCATATCGAATTACATCACGGGTAGCTTGCCGGGCTCTGCCGTGCAGGCGAGATACTCTCAGTAGCTTGCTAGGCTCTCCGAGAGGGGCGGAGGAATCAAACTCGGGTTGGCCATGTTGGCTGCATGCAAGGCAAAGGCCCTACCGCTGTGCTATCGCTCCAGCCCATTTGAAATAATAAAGTATAATTATTATATTATTTATAATTTTATATATTTACATTTAATTTGTTGTTACTGTGTTTGGCATATCGAATTACATCACGGGTAGCTTGCCGGGCTCTGCCGTGCGGGCGAGATACTCTCAGTAGCTTGCCGGGCTCTCCGAGAGGGGCGGAGGAATCGAACTCGGGTCGGCCATGTTGGCTGCATGCAAGGCAAAGGCCCTACCGCTGTGCTATCACTCGGTGATAAGCAATATAAATTATTTTGTGCCTGTTAAGGGGGGAGAATTGTGAGGTGGGTGGGAAACTGGGGATATTGATGGAGGAGATGTCACACTGGTGGTGGAACTGGTGTTGGAATATTGAATACCTGAAACAACTGTGTTATGAACAATGATGTAAGTCATTGTTAAAGTAGTCTGAAACATTAAAGAAATGAAAAGAAATGTGGCCTCGAAGGAAACTGAAGGCTTACATTTGTACCTCTTAATAGCCATTCCTAGAATGAGCAGACGCCACTGGGCTATACTAGCACGTGACAGGGACGAATGGAGATATTACTGGTGCCCACTTAACCAAATTGATGAGTAACAGGATGTCAAGTGATCGAGTGAATAGCCATATTTTCAGAATTTTTTGCTTTTGTTTTTGGGCCAGCCCCAGTGGTGCGCAGGGTTTACTCCTGTTTTGTGCCAGGGATCTCTCCTAGGGGGCTTCAAGGGACAATCTGAGGTCGTAGGCACTGAACCAGGGTTGGCCACATGCAATGCAAATGCCTCACTCGGTGTAACTCTCCAGCCACTCGAGATGTTCAAAGAATATAACAGGGCAGGATCCCTTCTGGTTCATAAGCATGGGTGTTGACAGGTTTGTGTGACACGTGTCTCCCTTAAAACCTGTTACGCACATTACCCATCTGATGGGAACTTCAAAATGTATGTAACAGATGAGTTCTCATCACTAATACAGAAGTTTTCTTTGGGTCCTTCATTCCTCCATGTGCGCCTCTGTTTTTGGTCACACCCAGCAGTGCTCAGGGCTGACTCCTGCTTCTGCACTCAGGGTTCACTTCTGGAGGGGCTCAGGGACCATATTGCGGGTGCTGGGGATTAAACCTGGGTTGGCTGCCTGTGAGGTGAGAGGCTTATCTCTCCGACCCCTCATTTACCCCTCCTTTAAAAATCTTCTACGAGGGGCCAGAGTGATAGTTCAGTGGGTGAACATGCATGCAGCAGACTCAAGTTCTATCCCCAGCATCCCATATGGTCCCCCGTGCACTGCGAGGAGTGATTCCTGAGTGCAGAGTCAGGAGTAAACCCTGGGTATCGCATTCTGCCAAGAACCCCCCCATCACACACACAAATATACCCCCAATTATCTACAAAATAAAGGAAATCAAGAAGTTGTCAGAGTGCAGGTAAGATTCCTCAGAAGGCAGGATCCCTGAGGGCACCTTTGGGAGGTCAGACACGGGAACGGCAGAGTATGGTCAGTGTGACCCAGGCTCATTTCCCCTTCCAGACAGGAGCAGAGATGCATCCGGCGAGCAAGCTAGTCACCACGCAAATTCCCTCCTGCCACCCCGTTCCCAACCCAGAGGACCCCTGGTGGGTCTGGAAGCAAACGCATCCTTACCCAGGAGGGACACGAGCGAGAGCAGGAGGGCCAAGTGCTTCAACCCCTTCCTCTTGTGGAAATAGAGCAGGACGCAGAAAACCAGGATCTCCAAGATCTAGAAATCCAGAAAGGAGGGGAGGGGAGGAAGGGTCAGTTTCCAAAAGACTTCAGGGCGTGCTGGGCTCACTCACCTTTGCCGGAGCACAGCTGTCCTGTGTGTGATGCAAAGCCCAGGGCCCGAAGGACCCCCTGAACAGAAGTCTCGGCTTTGCCAGCCTTGGGCGTCACATCTGGGACACGCCCAGTCCTACCTCCCTGCACTCAGGCACGATCCCGCTCCTGGCCCTTCCCTCCTGCACTCCGACTTCTCTCCTGAGCCTTCACCCTCACAAACCCTTCCCTTTCCGTCACTCCCTGCCACCCCTTCTCTGGGTGCTGTCGAAGCTTCTCATCCCGTCCGTTGTGGACTTCAGCTTCCAGCCTTCCACTCACAGGGGAACACCTCAAAGATGCGTGGGGGGTCATGCACTACTTCAAACTCATCCACAAGGTACCCAGGAAGTACCGGGGTAACAGGACCAGAACACACAGCCCCACATCACACCCCACCTTCCATGGGCCCCCAGGACCCCCAACATGCAATTCTGTGTTTGCCATTTGATTTTTCTAGCAGCCCCTCCTCCCCTCCATTCCCATATGCCCCCGCACGAAGCCCCACGTTCTCTGCGTTGGTGGGCTGAGAGCAATGGGCTCGCGTTGGCTCTCACTGGCCCCTGGGCTGTGAGATGTGCATGAGACGCATCTGTGAGTGAAAGAGGAGGGACACCCACACCTCCCTGGGTTCCGTCCACACAGGGAAGGGGAGAGCCCTGCCACCCTCAGCGTCTTCTGGGGGCTACAGCTGTGGGACTCGCTCCAAGGCCCCATGGCAGCCCCCGGGCACCCACCTTATCCTTCTCTGAAGCCCAACTGAATGTCTGAAAATGCCCTCCCAGAACTCTGGGGCTGCTTTCCTGGGGGACTGAGGATGGAAGCCAAGGTCTCACATGGGCTCAGAGCCACATCCCCAGCGTTCTGTGGATCTCTGGGTTCCCAATGCTGTGGAATGATTTCTCTTTCTGGGCGCTGCCCTCAGAGAACCTGGAGTCCAGCTTGTTTACTTCAGGACGTGGCCTCCCTGGGCCAAAACCATCCATGTCAGTGCTTACTGACACCAAGGAAGTGGGGGAGCCACCCACAGTTTCCCCCTCTCAGCCACTGCACAGGCCTGCTGGCGTGCGAGGCAGCACGCTCCTCAGGGCGCCTTCTCCCAGGCCAGGGAGCAAACTACGTTAGGGCTCAAGAGTTTGCTTGGGGCTGCTGTGCCCGGCCTGCGGTGGCAGGCCCTCACCGGCCTCCTCACGAGCATGTTCTCTAAGAGGGGTCAGTCACTCTCCTCTCCTCTTCCTTTTCCTGGTGAATTGAACGGAATATCCTGACCTGCCCTCTGAGACCACTGCCCCGCCCTCCAGGCAGCCATGCTCTGAGAGCCCAGACACTGCTGTCTCCTGAAAGACACCACCAAACTGGGTGCCTCAACTCCTGCACAGCTTCTCTCAGGGTTGAACCAAACAGAGCCATGACTCTCAGAGAAAGGTCTCTCTCAGGGAAGGTGTCTCTCAGGGAAAGGTCTCTCTCAGGGAAGGCACCTCTCAGGGAAAGTCTCTCTCAGGGAAGGTGTCCCTCAGGGAAAGGTCTCTCTCAGGGAAGGGTCTCCCTCAGGGAAGGTCTCTGTCAGGAAACAGTGTCTCTCAGGGAAGGCATCTCTCAGGGAAGGTCTCTCTCAGGGAAGGTGTCCCTCAGGGAAAGGTCTCTCTCAGGGAAGGGTCTCCCTCAGGGAAGGTATCTCTCAGGGAACAGTGTCTCTCAGGGAAGGCATCTCTCAGGGAAGGTCTCTCTCAGGGAACAATGTCTTTCAGGGAAGGGTCTCTCTCAGGGAAAAGCGTCTCTTCTGGCCTAGACTCTCTCAGGGCTCAGATCTCTTGAGCTGAGACTCACTCAGGGTTGAGCCTCTCTTAGGGCCAGGACTCTCTCAGTGCCTAGACTTTCTCAGAGCTGAACCTTTCTTGAGGACAAGCCTCTCTCAGGGCTGAGCCTCTTTCAAGGCCCAGTCTCTCTCTGAGAGAAAGAAGCCATTCTGTCCACGTCCTGTCATGATACCCTGCATGATCTTACGAGCCAAGGCTCTCCCACTAATAGGTGTGCCATGTTGGTGCTCGCTGTGCGACCCATTTTTTGTGACAGCAGACCGGCTGTCTGAGGTCCTTCCTCATCTGTGTGCTTTGGTTCTTTAGTGTGAATGTCGATTCTTCCATCTGAACTGCCTTTTGCCAATGAGCTACATAATGACCCTTTCTATCACACTCTCATTTATACCCACCAAACGCTGCCACTGGACCCGGACAAAATACCCTAGGCCAGCTTCAGCTCGTCCTGCTTCTCAGGGCTCTGAGCTGGGGTTCGAGTGCCTAACGTGCTGAGTGGTCTGCTGCTGCTCAGACAAATCTCTTTGACTGGGCTCCAGAGGTCCTCTGAAGGGAGAAATCTACCTTGAATAAGATCTATCAATATCTTTAAGTATTGCCTTCCTTGAGAGGATTTTTTTTGGGGGGTGGGAGGGTGTTGGTTTACTTTTATTACTTTGGCCCCAAACACGTTGCTCTGGAGTCTGTAGGAATAAATGTCAGGGAACTTGTTCTGATGACTGGTTCTTCTGAAAAAACGCAGGGGCTGAGGTAGAACCTCATCAAGTATCTTGACATTCATCAAATATATTTATTTTTCAATGGACTACTTATTAGTACTGGGAGGAAAGGTCATATTAACTTCCTAACATCTGCACGTGCCAGTGATGTGGATAAGTTAACCTGGGGTGCGGTAATCGTTTCAGAATTCTTACCACGTAGACCATGAACTTCCAGCCAACGAAGTAATACTGTATTGTTCTCGCCGTGAGCGTCTGCATTAGACTGGGGGCGAAGTTCACCAGTAAGTAGATTCCTGCGAACGCCAGCGTCGTACCTTGGATAAAACGAAGAAAACAAGAACTACGGTGAGAAAGGACGGGTACGCCTTACTGCTGAAGCCAACATCACCCACAGCGGGAGGAGGGCGGACGGTTCTGTGCGTGTGCCGGCGGGCAGGAGCGGACGCTCACATGACAGACCTTGCGGACTCCTCGATGTGTCCTGCCCCGCGTGCCCCTCACAAAACATCTGGGAGCCCTTCCCCATGAGGTGCTGAGTAGCTGCCTCTTTTTCCAGCTCTGTGAGTGCCCCTGACCCGAAGTGTCCCCTTCCGCTGCATCCAGTTTCCAACCCAGTCCCTCCTGTACCTCCATGAACCACGCCATCTACTTCCGCCCTCTCCCTTCTTGGACTCACCCCTGTAAGTGCCCATGGCTGTGGCATTTCACCCTGCCCTGGAAGGAAATCAAACAGTGATTCTGCAGACTTCCCTTTTCTTGGAGGGTGTGTGTGTGGCCGCGTCCCGTGGTTCTCAGGGGACCCTACGATGCCGGGGATGGGTCCTGGGGCTCTTTGTGCAAAGCCTGGACCCCGCTCGCTGAGCTCTCTCTCCAGCTGCACCCTCTGCCGCTGTGTCTCAGGGTAGGCCGTCTTTTCTCTGAGTCGTTTCATCCCAGCACCTGACCCCGGCGTCTCAGCTGGTGCCCTCTGTGTGGTGCATGGGTGGTGCACGGGCTCCTTTGTGAATCCTCTGCCTTTTGCATATTTTCCATAACGAGGTCGAAAAGTGCTGAAGATGGCCATCAGCAATTCTGCACATTCCCTTAAGATGCATTTAAGTTTCCCCCTTTGAGTGGAAGCAGTAAGCCAGGCCAGTGATAGCCATTTTTCTTTCTCTTTCATCTTTTTTTTTTTTTTTTTGCTTTTTGGGTCACACCTGGCGATGCTCAGGGGTTACTCCTGGCTGTGCACTCAGGAATGACTCCTGGCGGTGCCCAGGGGACCATATGGGATGCTGGGAATCGAACCCGGGTCAGCCGCGTGCAAGGTAAACGCCCCACCCGCTGTGCTATCTCTCCAGCCCCTCATCTTTTTTTTTATGTTCTGGGTGATACCCAGAGCTGCTCAGGGACTATTCCTAGACCAGGGGTGCTCACGAATGATGCCTGGTAGTACTTGGGGGACCATATGCAGTGCTAGAGAGTAAAATTGGGGTCAGCAGATGCAAGGTCAGCACCTGAACCCCTGTACTATCTCTGTGGCCCAGTAGCTTTATTTCAGTGAAGTCACAGTGGTCCTTTGGAAAGAGACAGATTTCTGGTACACAAAGTTTATTCCTTCATCACTTCTGCTGGCCCAGCAGCCCAGAGGGATATCCAAGAAAACAGATCAAACAATTCTAACATTTGCCAGAAAAGACGTCCAGAGACCAAACTGATAATATTTTTTCTGAGAGAAACATGGAGGAATTAGCCCAGAGTTCAGCAGCGGATGAGTGAAGAAAGAAAACATGGTACAGATACACAATGGAATACTACTGACTCATGGTCACGGTCATGGTCCTCCCGTTGTTCATCGATTTGCTCGAGCGGGCCCAGTAACGTCTCCATTGGAGACTTTGTTGTTACTGTGTTTGGCATATCGAATACGTCATGGGGAGCTTGCCAGGCTCTGCCGTGCTGGCGAGATACTCTCGGTAGCTTGCCGGGCTCTCGGAGAGGGGTGGAGGAATCGAACTTGGGTCGGCCATGTTGGCTGTGTGCAAGGCAAACGCCCTACCTCTGTGCTATCACTCCAGCCCGAGATAGCACAGTGAGTAGGGCATTTGCCTTGCATGCGGCTGACCTGGGTTCAATTCCCAGCATCCCATATGGTCCCCTGAGCACCGCCAGGAGTGATTTCTGAGTATAGAGCCAGGAGTAACCCCTGTGCATTGCCGGGTATGAACCCAAGAAGAAAAAAAGAAAAAAAAAACACAAGAGCTCACACTACTTACTCAGCCATGAAAAAGATAAAGTCCTGCCATGTACAGCCACACGGATGGACCAAGAGAGGATCACCCTTAGAGCGCTAAGTCAAACCGAGGACAAGTGCTCTATGTGGTATACAGAGAAACAAACAAAATGAGTGAAATAAAACACACATAAACTTTTTCAGACCAACAGTAAATTGGGGTGGTTTTCAGAAGGGATGCGGATTTGATAAACTGGGTTCAAGGGATCTTATTTGTGGTGAGGGGCAGAGTTGGACTTCTAGTGTGAACTCATGGTAGCTACTGATGTTGTTGATAAAGAAATACACATCTGAAGCTCGTAATGTTATAATGTAATGTTACTTCAATTAAAAACATTATACTTAAAAAGCAAGGTAATGGAAAAACCAGATCTTTGTACTCTGTCTTGGCAGGCATTTCTTCTGTATCTTTGAAGCAATGCTTTATGTTTGATGTTAAACTGTCCTAAAATCCTACTGTGGGGTTTACTGTGTCTTTTTCTTTGAGGGCATGGAGGGATTCCCAGGAAGTGCTCAGGGGTCCAGGGTCTCTCCTGGTGGTATTCGGCCAAGCCAGCCGGGCAGTTCAGTGCTCTGGTACAGAAGTACTGCGGGTCACCAAAGCCAGACCCCAAGTGATGCTTTGGGGCGGGCTGGGGTTCTCCAGGGGGCTGGGGTGTGAGCCTGCATGGTCAGGATGGAATCAGGGTCTGTGCATGCAGCCCTCACCCCTGAGCTATCTCCCTGGCTCCCCTTGCTTTCACTTGAAGGAATATTATCACCACAAATCACCATAAATTCTTAAATTAATTAAAGTAATAAATTCTTACATAAATTCTTAATAAATTGAATTCTCAATAAATTTTTCGGCATCATTTTTTTCAGCCTAACACTGCAATTTGTTATCTGTGGTGACGGTCTTGGCCTTATTGCTTAATTTTATTGTCACAGGGATGTGGTTCTTTGCACCGGCTCAGCTGCCCTTTTTGGATAAAAGGCTTGGACTTGGAGGCTGGAGAGATGGCACAGTGGGGAGGGTGCTTGTTTTGCAAATGGCCAACCTGGGTTTGATCCCTGAGCACCACTGGCTGTGGCCTAAAACACAGACACAAAAGGCTGGACTTCCTCGTGCCCAACCCGAGGCGGCCTGGGGAGCTCTGTGGTTGTTTCCTGAAGCCAAGGGGAGCCTGAGGACAAGCCGGCCAGGGCCCTGCTGCCAGGCTTCCAGCAGCCTCCCTGAGGAGTGCAGAGCCACTTCCCTAAGCCTCAGGGATCTCAGTTATTTCAAGCACCTCCAGGAGAAAGAATCACCCCACATTAGGGGGCCTGCAGGTCACATCTGCTGGCGAGATGCTACGTGGCTTCTGAGCCTCGCGGGGCTTTGGGGCGCTCCATCCCAGCTGGTGAACTGGAGTTCCAGCAGAGCAGATGGGAACAAGCCGCGGGCTTCTCATCGTTCTTCCTGCACTTACATCAGTCACAGCCAGATTTGCTGAGGCTGGACTTACTTTGCAAAGAAATTAATTTGGCTGTGATTGCCTTTGATTAAAAAGAGGGTGATCACGGCAGGAAAACAATTGCTTTGATAACGTGTCCTTCTGGCTATTACATTCTAGGGCCATGAATTGTCTTGTTAATCCGAAACTGGGCCCGACCCCAAGGCCGGAGAACCCGATGGGCTGAGTTTATTGCTTTGTATCCAGGCATACCACATTCACAGGGCCAGCACTGACCCCCTCAGCACAACTGGATGTGGCCTCCAAACAAAAACCAGTGAAAAAAGATGGGACTTGGTCCTGAGTAGTTCTCGTGTCCTCCGATATCTGGCCAGGACTTTCCATACGAAGCGCCCATCCTTTAAAGTCAAACTGTGCTTTTTTGAAAAATTACACAAACCCTGGAGAGCCCTATGTCAACTTTGGAAAAACGCACACCTTGACGATTTTGTGCTCGTTGGGGTACAGGCCAGGTGGAAAGTTTAGCCAAGCACCCAGTGGCAGGCTTGGGGGGATTCAAACAGCAAAAGCTGCTTGCAACTGTGGACGCTGCAAACTTGCAGGTCTATGGACCAATGCGGGTGACAGGTGGTTTCACACCTGGCACTGATAAACCCGGTGCCCTCAAGGCCTCAGACTGGGTTTACCATCTGCTCCAGTTCAGAACTGTCATTTGCAATAAGGGATGAGGCAACTGATAAATCCAGGCTTTGCTATTTTTTCTTTTTCTTTTTTTTTTTTTTTGCCACATCTGGTGGTGCTTGGAGGGGACCATGCAGTGCCGGGGATATAGTTGGGGCCTCCCGCGGGGAAGGCATGAGCTCCAGCCCTTTGAACCATCCCCGCCCCCCTCCCCCCACACCAGCTCAGTTTTTAATATATGGCACTTCCAGAGAAGTTTCGGAAGACGGAACTGGGGGAGCTCAGGGCAGCCGGTCCCCAGAGATCACTGAGTGGCACCTTTTGTTTTAAATTAGGGCTGCGTGGGAAATGGCAGGTGGAAAAATGATCCTCTAAACCTCCCCACCTCCTGAAAGTAGGAAATAGATCTCCCATCACCCGTGGGAAGGGCGTCCCTCCTGCAGCAGGAGGAAATGTCGGCAGGGTAACAGGGCCAGCAGGAAACGCCGAGAGGGTTACAGGGTCCACTCCTTCCGCCTGAACGAGCTCTGCGTGGCGGACAGAAGCAGTGTCCAAAGCAAGAATCTCAAGAATGTCTTTGTCTCAAAAGTCCCAAAGCACGTTCCTCTGCTCACATCACAGATTCCTCACTCATATGGCATCTCCATGTGCATGAAATTAAGTGGATTTTTTTCCCCCTCCCGTTAATCTTTCTTGTGTCAATTTAATAATTTTCTAGCCAGAACTACCCAGAAAGGGTTGGGGAGAAATTTTTTCCCTCTCCCCAACACATTCTCAGATTTATTGGCACAGTCCATCCCGGCCGACATCTGGTTTCCCAGGCCAGCCCTCCCTTTAACTGAAGCCCCAAATCTTGAGGCCTAGCTCCGACCCCCATGCTGGGGGGTCAGCGTCCACTGCCATGTTCTTTCTGGCTTCTGGGACC